TAAAAATTTAATATAACGCCATCAGGTGGCCAAGGTAGGGACGTAACATAAGAAAAAAAAACAACTTTTAAAAATCATAACGAACTTAATTTTCAATATTTTTTTAAATGATTTCCTTTTAAAAAATTTGAGTATAAACTTTCTGAGAAAAAATCTGTAAAAAAATTCTCAGCATTCACTTTTTCATTTGAGAACAAATAGTCCTTATCATTCTGAATTTTTTCAATCATTTAAACTATCAAAATACAGTCCAATACTGCAAAAGAATAATTTCAAATTACGTTAAAATTATCGTCATATTACTGATGATTTTTGACTTCTTATTTTAGAACTTGTTCCATGTTTATTTCACGTGCTAAAAAAAACCGTTGGATCGCTCGCACTAGAATTGGACATTGATGAACATTCGAAACAAAAACCACCCAGAAGCATTGATTGAAAAAACGAAAAATTACCTAAACATTATTTCTTCCTCAATCTTTAATATTTTTTAATGAATTTCCTTCCAAAATGTTTGTTTCGGGACCAACTTTTTTGAGGAAAGGATGACAAGACGATTCTCAACATCGATTTTTTTACCTTAGGTTTTAACGTGGTTCTACAATTTGAATTTCTAAACAAAAAATCAAATTGTTCTAGCCAAATTATTCTATCAAGTGTAACGTTTTTGGTGTTTGAGTCATTCGCTGCAATAATCCTAAATGACTCAAACTGAGTGAATAGTGCCTGCCACTCTTCACTATGGAATTATCTCCCTTTCCGAGGGCCGTTACTCCCTGTAGTCCGACTAAACTCCGCGTGGGTTACACTCGTGTCAGGAATAATTGAGGATATTGGGAAGGTTCACTAAATAAACACTCCGGGTTAATCGGTAAGCGCTACTTCTATATTCTAGAACAATTAACCATGGTGATACACTATTCCAAAGCGGTTTCGGGCCGGTATACGCGATTTTAAATGATCAGTTCATGGTTGGTGGGCTTGGAGATGCGCTCCATTCTACTCCCGATCGTACTCTGGACTCTAGGGAGTCCAGAAAGACGCTCACGACCCGAAAATGATGAGCTAAGCAGTCCCACGGTTCCAGGGCACTACTACAGACAAGTGTCATCATTGATACTGTCTAAATACAGTCAAACAGCTCTCCCACGTACGAAAAAACGAATGGGCCGAGCTTGGCCCAAGCCCGGTGGCCGGCCTGCCGAACTTCGGGACCCGTTCCTCAACCGGGACCGCGCCGGATTTGGTTGAAACCTGGAATGATAACATCGGGCCAGGTCTGGGCGCCCATCTCGGCCCAGCGTTGGTTGCCAGTCGTTGGCCAGGCTCAATTAAACATTACTTAATTACATGAATATGACAATATGGGTGATTGAAATACAAGTAATTTAATATTACTCCTCAACATTCGTAATAGGTTCAACGAGGAAAAAAAATCAATACCGGCATGTGACTGGTGCCGCACTGGCTGCCAAACTATTCATGACAATTATCAATAATAACAAAAACAAAATAATTAACACTTTTTAGGATGATTTTTAGTATTCATTGTGCCCTACCTACCAAACCCTAACGCAATCATCGCTGAAAAACCGATTTTGTTAACTTAAAATATTACCCCCTAACGTGGGCTCGAACCCACGACCTCACGACTACTAATCCGACGCCCTAACCACTAGTCTACCGCGCAATTCGTAAAACCTCTACTTCAAATCGTCCATACTAATTCCATCTCGGTTTTTTTCGACTTGAATGTTTTATTATTCAGTTGATAGAAATATTCAGTGATTCAACTACAGTTTAATCGGTAAATTAATTCAATAATGAATAATAATAATTATTATTATTAATTACAATAATAATTGTAACAATTAGGATTACTGTTGAATGACGATTCTTCTTCTTTTCGTAATAATTAGCGAGTAACATGTGACTTCAACACCTACAATGTCACCATTTTTTTACGATTACACCCTTAACATTTTACCCTCAAGTTTCCACCCTTAACATTCAACCCTCAGAATGTCAGCCTTATAATTTTTTCGCCCCTTTCCATTATTGCGATTTGACCCTTACAATTTTACTCTTTAGATTTTACCCTTATGATTCCACCCCTATGATTCCATTCTCATCATCTCACCCTTACGGCTTAACCCTTACAGTTATACCAACGGCTGGAGCTCAATGACCAAGCTCCGGGCCACCGCTGACTGAGGCTTGGTTATCGAGGTCGGGCATGCCAATGTCCGGCCAAGGCAGGGCCAGATCTGTCAACCAAGGCTCGGTTACCCGCCCTTCTCCCGAGACTCAAGCCCTGGTCCCCAGGGATGGCCGAACCTCGGTCCAAGCCTGGGCGCCCAGACTTGGCAAGCCCAGGCTTGTGCCAGGCTTGGCCCGTTTCTACAACACTGGCATTTCGTACGTGGGCTCTTCCGACAATCTGGACTCCGATGTCACCGTAAGAGTGCTGACCTCTGCTCCCAAACGATGGGAAAGAAATCTCATTTCTATTCTCATCGTTTGGAATATGAATTCAATATCACGTATTATCCATAATACGTCATTGAATTAAACAAATAATCGACGTATTGATGTCAATACGTCACACAAGATATCTTCAATGGAAATTCTTCAGTTCGATTTGTCTATTCTGTACTGTTGGATGCTTGAGAAAATGGAAAAGCTTCTAAAATAAAATAGTTTCTATTGGAAATATTTTCTTCCATAAAAGAATGCAGGAAGCTGCAGAATCCCCCAATAGAAGTGATCAAAAACTAAGAGGATTTTTAAAATAAGTTCGACCTGAATTTGCTAGATTTCTCTGTGATTTTCGTACATGCACTGTTCATGATAGGGAAAAAACAATTAAACTGGTCTTATTTTTGCTTAGCGATTTTTTGTATCAAGAAATGTGAATTGTTTGATTCCAACAAACTAGATGATGAAAATACCTGTTATGAAAGATTCCAAAGTCCTCTGGGTTTCCTGGGATTCTTGGAGCTGGCTGTTCATTTTAAATCTTTTAGGGGGATTCTTCAGTGTTAATTGGGTTGTATTGCTGTTTCCGGGACTTTTTCCCTTCCTGTAGCAACTCTTCAGATGCCTCTCGAAATTAGATAGGACCCAACGACTTCCATGTTTTTGAGTAGCTGACACTTTGGACAGTTCTGTCAGAGAATTGCAGAAGATGCACTTGATCTTAGCTCCAAACGAGGATGATTTAGGTAGATCATCGCCAGTATAACATTCGACAACAGAAACTTGAACAGACACATCGTTGACCGAAATTTTTCGTACGCTGCCGCCTTCATATATATTTTCCTTCTCAAAAAAAGTATTCACCACACTCTTTATTTTTCTTCCAAGTAACTGACGCTCAGACTCGACGTTTTCACCACTGGATGTTATCAACTTCTTTTGGGTGCTCTGTTTCATTTTCTGCGATGCATCTCCAGTGAATTGGATCTCACCTTTGTTTGGTCTCCAAAAATTTTGAGGTTGTGCTGCCACAAACTGAACCAATTTCATCATCTTGGCACGGTCTCCAACATTGAACTGAAATTTTAATGGTTTTCTATGGTAAGGCCCATAGAACTCCTCGAGATTCTTCTCGGGGTCCAATATCTCGTGCAGGGCCTCTCTCGTGTGTTTCTCTATATCATCGATCGTGTCTGTCGTTACTTCGCCGAACGCCACTGGATCATCCAGTGAATGAAACGCCAGAATTTTTGTCACGTACACCGGTAAATGAATGCCCGTTTCTCTCCTTAATACTTCCCATAATTGTTCACCTTCAATATACTTCACTTCACACATATTTTTAATCACGCCTAGACTCGTAGTGCAACGTGCGCTCCGAAACAGTTTTGAAACACTCAGAGACTAACGTGTTCGGACATCTTCTGACACTAAACTCCTCGACGGAATGCGTTCCACGGCGAGTTGGGAGATTCTCGAGAAATATCGATCTGTTTTGAGAATCTCCCAATTCGACAGAGTTCCTTTTTGTTTTTTTTCAGACCGTCGGGAAGAGAGAACCTCTGTTGATAAATCATACGTGGCAGAACACATGTCGAGTGAACAATGAATTTTTCTCTCTTCTCTATAAATTTCAAAATAAAATTTCTCATTTCGTCGAGTTGATGAATGCAAGTGATTTCGAGTGATTTCAACCGATTTCAAGTGATTTCAAGTGATTTCAAATGAAATCGCAGAAATTTCAAATGATTTCAAGTGATTTCATTTGAAATCACTTGAAATCACTTGAAATCGGTGAAATCGCATAATTTCCCTGATTTCATCCGATTTCAACTGATTTCACGTGATTTCAAAACTGATTTCAAGTGATTTCAATCACCAGTGACACAGTGATTTCACCCGTGAATAACCCCTCGCCTGTGGCAGTAGGTGCGAACGACAATTGTTATGTCCTATCCAAGTTACTAGGAGGACAGTAGCGCCATTTGGAATATTGAGCGCCAAACTTTGAAGTGTGGATCCGTTAGCCGCTAAACCTCTGATGAGGACTCCATCGATGTTGACACGTTCAATGATAGGATAATTGGATTGAAGGTTTATTTGTGAATAAATCCAAACACCAGTGCTTAGAAGAGCACATTAACACTTTTATTCAAAATAACTCTTGACTCAAAAATCTAAAACTTGGACTACAAACTGGATGAACTTCTAATAAACTTATAAAAACTCATAAAAACTCTGAAGAAAAACTACTTCAAGAGAGAAGCTTGAAAAGTTGTCGGAACAACAGCCACGATGGGACTGACTTAAACTTAAGTTTTAAATCTAAGGGTTGGCTCAAAACACCTCCACTAGACCAAAAAGTTGCGCGCGCAATCCTGGCCCAGAGGAAAGGGAAGAGGGGTATGCTAAAACAGAACAGGGGAAATGAAAAGAGGGAGGAAGGGAAAGCGTGCGACGTCGCCAGTTTTCCTCTTGAGGGGTCTCAGGCCCTCCGCGTAGGAATACAATGAACAAAGGAGAACCCAAACACGTGTGGACCACTTGAAACAGAGAAACTTTTGAAATATACCAGAATTGAGATTTTACGATTTTACGACTGTGACCGATGTGTTTATTTTTCTCTGAGTTTAGAATTTTCAGGAAAAGCCTTTCTGTAACGAATTTTGGAGAGTAATAAATTGAGAACTCAACACAAGTACTTGACATTTACGATTGTTGGCAACGGTTTTTCTTACTCGTCAAATTATTTTTTGTCCATTGTTCATTGTCCTCTGTTTGACCATTTTCTTGGCATTCTCAAATTTCAGACTTTTTATATTCATTTTGAAATAATAATTCAAATCTCGCGGATTAAAATGGCCAATAAATAGTGCCATCTATAAAATTCAACGTCGGGACGTTACATATTTTTCCGTAGTGACTTTCAATTTTGCCAGTTAGGGGAAGGGTTAATACCAATCCCCAGACTGGAAAAAGTGAAGGTCAATTCGGAAAAAATGCCTTTTCTGTACTGCTTCACACGATTGCTCGTCTGGGAATTGGTATTGCATATTTCCCAAACTCGAAAACTTGAAAATCACTACCAAAAAATCCTGTTCAGGCTGCTGTGATGGGGTTTTTTTACTCGTATGGTTGGCCAGTCCTCGCCTGCAGCTCGGCCGCCAATGCCAATCGGAAATCCCTTTTAAGAAATTTAGTATTATCTACAGAAAATTTATAGTTTCATATTATTAAATATTTAATTCATCATCAATTGGTAATTTAGGTTATCAATTATTTTACTATTTTTTAATTTAGATTAGTATATTTAAACCTTGATGAATGTAAGTCGGTAATTCTTTTAGTATTGAAAAACCGGAAGATTGATGGCCATCCCTGAAATCTACCCAACTCATTTTATTTAGCCCAGAAGACCCACCAAACAACAAAAATGAAACCATCCGGAAACCTACCATCCACCACCTTATTGATGGCATACGAGGATAAATACATTGCTAGGTAACCGACTGTAATGGTTAGGTGGGTGAGGTGTTGCTCCGGCGGACATCCAAGCTAAGCAGCGTTGAGCTGGGTTAGTACTTGGATGGGTGACCGCTTAGGAACACCTCGCTCGCACAAAAATTACGGGCGGTAGGCACGGTGCCGCGGATTACATGTCTAAATAACACACGTAAATGTTAACATTGACAAACTCAACACAAAAACTGAACATAAACAATTTCAACATAACATAATCTCAACAAATTCACTCAACATTGTACAATTCAACACAATACAAAAACAACATATTATCAATTAACATCAGTTTATTTCAACACAAATTCCAAATTTCACATATTTTCAATTAACATCAGTTTATTTCGACATAAATTTCAACATTCAGAAAATTCAATTTAGCCATGATTCATAACACCACAACTAGTAAATTAATAAATATCATATTACAATTCTGTTGGAATTAACGGAAACATCCACTCTCAAAATATCATGATTCAATTTCCCTACATTAAATAACACAGGATACAGCGCATACTATGAACTCATCATCTGAACCTATTTTCCAACAAAGTTAAATTTTCAAAAAAAATTAAACAAGATCGTGACACTGATCACCGTTTCGTCAAATGTCTTACTGACCGGACCCAAAGTTTTCCAGTAAAGGTGAAATATAATTTCATTCGGGGGAAGAAGGGGAAGAAGGGCGACAGGTATGGGAGCATTGATAGAGGCTAATCCCTGACATGAGAGAGACAACAGATATTGTATTTACTAGGGGCGGTCTGTTTATCAAAGAAATGCTGGCTAAAAGCAATTGATACTAAAGAGAAACAGAGATGAATTGAATTCGATTGTGTTGAGTATCTGTGAGAATTTTACCCGGGGGCAGGTATTGGGGCATCGATAAATACAAAAGTTTTGTATTTACTTGATTTCAGACAGAAAGAGAGATGTGTTGCATATCCGTGTTGAATTAGTTTGTGTTGAAAAAGCATGTGTTGAGTTGCCTTATGTTGAAAATACATGTGTTGAAATGGCATATGTTGAGTTTGTGTGTTGAGTTTGTTTGTTATTAAGACGTGTAACCGGTGCCGCGGCCTAGTGTCTCCATCTAGTCAGTGTGACAGATGGATACATTAGGGTACTGCACAATCGGCTGGCTGTGCGACTGGGTTTTCACATGGTTTCCCGTGCAGTCCTAGCTCGAATGGGGCACAGCTAAGAGTAAGACGGCCATGATACCGCAGATAACAATGAGAGGAAAAGTAAAGGAGGGGAGGCAGGCTAGAGGAGGGGTTTCAAATCGAGATCTACTTCGATAAAACCAATGAAATAGAAAAATAAAAAATTAAAAAATACATTGCTAGGTATAAAATCTCCAGCCACGTTTGTTTTTTTGTTCCATTTTTTTCTTCAAAAATTTTAGATAAATAGTAAGTTTCTTTGTAAATAAAAATATTTGAGGGAAAAAATTGTAATGAAATGAAAAAAAAAGAAATGAAAAAAAATTAAGCAACTAATAATTTTCGTATCGAACGAACCCCATTATGATCTCTCTATATTTTCCGACAAAGAGAAGAACCAAATGAATTTACGAATTTGCGTTTGTAGGATATTGCAGATAGTTTGAGCTATTCGAAACCATACTCAATCGAAAGAACGAAAATGTCCGTCAAAAATACGTATTAAAAGCTCAAAAATGTTTTCTACTTTTTTTCGTTTCCGATTCAATGAAATTTGTCTGAAGATTTTATATGATTTCGGTTCCATTCGTATACAATATTCCATAACTGATTACCACTTTACCCAGGTGAAACCCAATCAAATTCCCCAATAATTAAAACATTGTAAATTTGTTTATTCACATACTCTCCTCAATACAGTTCCCCCATACATCGAAGAGTCTCGAATAAAATAAAATCATACAATATAGTCAACAAGCAAAAAAAAAATCATTAGTCAATTCTTTCTAAAATCACCAAAAGCACTCTGATGTGCTCCACTAATACATGATTCTTATTTACATTTCTCCAACTTTACTTTCATGATTCCGGGATATAATAGATACTCTCCATTGCGATTGTCGTTATAAGAAAAAAATATTAACAAAACCATAATAAAGTTAAAAACTCTCAAAATTCTATGCTGTTTGTAAGTGATAAGATTACATGCTCCTGGACTATAGCAGCTAGCTCCTTCAACCACTCGTCCATGAGGACTGCGCAAAGTACAACATGTTGAGTGGGTGTTGTCTTGTATAACGAAGATAACATTTCTGCTCGATTGCTGGCACCATCACTGGTCATTTCTAATTGCTCATCGGTTCTTTTGTGTGCTGGTGGACTTGGGAGGGCACTCGTGCCAGGCCATTTGAATATTTGTGTTAAAGAAGATGTTAAACTTCGTCTTTTTGGCTCGCTCCTAGAAAAAGGCTCCACAGGAACTTTTTCTGGTTCTTTTTTGACACTTTGGGTTGTTTTTAATGCATTTCGCCTTGTATTCACAAGCCTGTATTCTCTGGCAATAAGAAATGCACGGGCTTGCTCTACTAAATTATCGACATTCTCCACTTTTGATAAATACTGATCTATTTTGTTCTTTAATGATGCCAAGATCTGGAATTAAATAAAATTGTCATCAAGAATATTAATTGGTGAGTGTCTTCTTCATGATTAACCACAAACATCAGATCAATAGGTAACTTGCAAGAATTTTTTTCAATTTTCTAATCTCAAGTTTAGGACCTGAATAATTAATTTTTCATTCACAAACGGTCGAAATATTGCTCATTACATAACACTAATCCGATAAAACTTTCATCGCCGATTTGAATTCTTTGGTGTTTTTATGTATTCTATGAAAACGTGAAGATAGGAATTGAATTGATAGGTATTGATTCATTATTCGAAAGAATATATCAATTTTGAAATGTTCCCTAGATATTGAAAAATGAAGAAGTCTGTTTTCGTGTTCGTCTCGTTTCTCTTCCTCTTTTCACGTTCTTCCACCGGAATTAGATAATAGAAAGAAAATACATTGGTTTTCCTTCATTATTAAAAAAAAAAACGTTTTAAAATTTTCGAGATTGAAAAATCGATTTTTTAAATTTATTCACAGGAATCAAAACTGTTAATCACCCTTTATTTTTTACGAAGAAAAAAACAATTTGAAAAATTTCAACAAGACAGAAAAATAAATTTTATGTCATTAGGCCCGAAAAAACCGCGATTCTAGATCGCGGTTTTCGGGCCCAATGACATAAAATATCGTATGTCACACGGCGATAAAAGCATTATCTGGCGAATGTGGCATTATAATCCGAGCCGAAGGCGAGGCGCTTGATGACATAATATACTATTTTTCATTTTATTGATACCGATTGATGACAATCGATCTCTCTTTGCAATTTCCTTCTTGGGTTCCATTGAAATGAGATCAAAGGGATATAAAATGTTCATATTCATTCACATTTTCAGTTCATTAGTACTAATTAATTTAAAGAAAAAGAAAGAAATGAAAAATTTTAGGTATTAATTATCGAAAATTGTTTGTCGATCTGTATTCTCATGTGATTTATGGGGAATTCCTTTTCATTCAATGGTGTAACTTGTAAATTAAGGAACAAAAATATATATAATAACAATCAGACTCAATGAAATTAAGTTAATCTAATTATGAAGACGGAAATGCAAAGAAAATAAAACAAAATAACATAGGATAAATTAATCTAGCGACAGGCCCGAAGCGCCCGTTCACTAGTTAATTAATAATTAATTGTTAAAAGTTGGAGATTTCAAATCGCTTTGAAATCGCTAATGACGTCACACAGACGGTCGACTGCTAGATCAATCACAGAATGGCTCGGGCTGACCTAACCCAATCTTGAGGTGCGCCTCGGCCAATGGAGGACGACAACCCCCTAATCCCTTTTTTTTTTTCTACCAATGAAGTATTACCTGACCGTCTCCGTAAAGTCATGACCGAAAAATTGGTTTCAAAAACGACTGATTTTAAATTAATTCTCATAAAACATCTAAGCAATATTTCTCCATAATTTTCGACGTATGAGGAATGTGGGCATAGGAGAATTAAAAAGAATTAAGCTTCATGCAAGTTCCCTATTCTACAATATGAAATTCAGATTGCACAATGTGTAATAGGTCGATATATAGACAAGTTCTGGATGAAAAAAATCAAATGTGTCAAAAAATGCTGTTTTTATGTTAAAGTATATCGCTTTTTAAACAATTAATGGATACTAAAAAGAGTTTATATTTTATTGATTTGAGACTGAGAATAGCGAATGTCCGGAACATTCAGGAGTTTTGGCTAGCGGTCAAGGAGGTTGGTAGAAGATCTTTTGGGGGCAATTTTCTGTCGAAAGAAACTTGGGAGGAGTTCTACTCGAATGTTTATCCACCGCATGTGCAGTGTTGCATGAGTCCAGAAGATAAGATGCCAGACATCCCGACCTGGACACATATTTGTCTATGCGTGAATTAGAGTCAGCGCTTAAATCATTAAAGAACAATAAAGCTTCTGGTCCTGATTTGATTCCCAACGAATTCTGGAAAGCACTCCCGCCGGTGGGTAGAGAGTATCTTCTATCTTTATTCAATGGTATTCTAGAATTGGGGACGGTCCCAGAATCCTGGCCTTGCGCAGTGCCTACTATGCTTACAAGAAAGGTCCTAAAGAGGATCCAGCAAACTATCGAGGTATTGCTTTAACTAATAACATTCTAAAGATCTTTACAAAAATATTGGCTTCAAGAATTGAGAAGTGGATGGAATCTAATGAGATTCTGCCAGAATCACAAGCGGGGTTCAGAAGGAATAGGGGTTGTGAGGACCAGATTTTTACGCTTTTAACTACAATCCAAATGCAGCTGAGACTACCTGGTAGTACAGTTTACGTGATTTTTATTGATTTTAAGAGGGCGTTCGACTCTGTTCCTCACAACCTTTTGTGGACTAAATTATTTGAACTGGGCATAAGCTCAAATATTCTAAGAATCCTCATGAACATTTACAATAAGGCATCAGCTCAGGTGAAGGTGAGGGGGGGGGGGTCATCGGGTAGATTTGGCATCACGGAGGGTGTACTACAAGGGGAGATTCTGAGTCCTCTTTTGTTTATACTGTACGTATCAGACTTTGAAAAATACTTTAGAGAGAGGGGATGCAGGGGAATTAACATCAACGCTCAAATAGACCTCATGATGCCGACCTACGCAGATGACACAGCCCTACTTTGTCACAGTGCCCAAGATGTAGATAAAAAATTGAGAATTCTCAAAGAATATTGCTCATGAAATGGGCTAGTAGTCAACACATCGAAGACAAAAGTCCTACCTTTCAGAAAATCTGGCAGAATTCGTAAATATGAAAAAAAGGTATTTAAGTACGATGGAAAGATGGTAGAAACCGTGAATCAATACGAATACCTAGGGGTCCTATTAGAAAGCAATACGTCGTGTACCCGTACGTTGAATCATGCCGTAATGAAAGCAAAAATAGCGATCGGAGCCTCTAAATCGATCCTAATTAAAGCAAGATCTGATGCCTGGTGCACCAAGCTCAAGCTATTTGATAGTGTCGTTTCCCCTACTTTGCTGTATGCGGTCTCTTCTTGGGGTTTGGGTCAGTACGATAAGATTGAGAAAATTCAGAATGACTATTTTAAACAGCTTTTATTGTTACCCTCCAATACCCCTGGTTACGTGCTCAGATTGGAACTAGGTTTGAGGCATTTGGCCATTAGAGCACTGGACCTGACACTTAATTGGATAATTAAAGTCCTTAAAATGGAAGAGACCCGTCTTCCGCGAAGTTGTTGGAATCGATTGAGGTTTCTATTGGACAAGGGCACTAACAGAGTAGAATTCAATTGGTTATCGAAACTGAAATATATATTAGAGGAATTGAACATGGACTTTATTTGTCTGATCGATGACCCAGTGGTTTGGATAGAAAACAAACAGAAAATTATTACGAGATATAGTGACAACTTAAAGGCACAAGATTTGATTAGATACGCAGAAGGTAAATCTTTGCAATTTAGAATCCCTAGGTACTTCACTAATTCTACTTCCAGGTATTTGTTACTACGTTGCCCTGTGGCTTATATCCGTATCATTGCACAAATACGACTAGCTAATATATTTGTGGGTAGATTTATATGCAAGGGAAAAATTTTTAAACTACACCCAAATGAGTACTGTAAAATTTGTAATTATGAATTAGAAACTATGGATCACATAATTGTAAGATGCCCTTTCTACCTCGACATAAGAAAAAAATTCTTCAATGACCTCTTAATTGATAGATATGAACTCGATATGTTGTACACGCTTTTAGACATTAACAACCCAAAACAACTAAAGAGACTAGCTCTCTATATGATCGAAGCGCTGGAATTCCAAGAACATATTCTGAACATGGACTAACTGCTATGCTCAATCAGTGGATCGCTCGTGATAAGAGAGGAAAACATAAATAAAAATGATCTGTACACATGTAATTATCTGAATTATTTTATGAACTGATGTATGAAGCTATCCCCCCCCCCGTGCAAAGTGAGTGTCGTTTAATAATGTAAACTCACACGGGCACGTATTCAAAATAAAAAAATAAAAAATAAAATGTTAAAGTATATCACAGAATTGACAAATATTGTATATTTGACGTGAAATAATTAAATACTTGTTAATTTCTGAATTATCTCAGAGATTAATAAATTGAGAGACAAATGGGAAGGAACACTCGTATGAAAATGGACGCTCTACAGAAAAAATATTCGACCTTTGTCTCTCAATCTCTCATCCCAGTAAATATTCATTAAAAAAATGTGTACAAAGCCTTTGAACTCATCACCTAGATCTTCAAATCTTTATAAATTCATAAAAATTACCTGAAATAACGATCTAATACTCGGTTGGAAGACCAAAGAAGGGTTCAGCAGAAACGACTGCAGTAATGGCTGACGATAAACCGCCAATCTACTGATAAGCCCAGTCAAATGTAAATTGACATAAAGATTATTGCTAGTCAAGCACTCGAGTTTCCTCAGAATAACATCCAAGAAAATTCCCACACTCGGTTTATCATTGATCACACTCTCCTTCCTCTTCCCCTCATTCTTGATCTTCACGTTGACCTCAATCGATTCTCTCCCATTAATAATGACATCCTCATTTCCATTTCCATTCTCGTTATTTCCATCCTTCTTTCCACCTTTTTCATCCTCAAACTCATTGGTAGGTGTGAAATCAGGTGAACTTTTCATGGCAAGACTCTCGTATCCACTACTATCACCAAGAGAAAACATTGAGTCCACTGGATTGGTGGACTCTCCATTCTTCTTCAGACTTTCCTCGTAAATCTGCGATATCTCAATTTCTTCGTTGAGCAACGCATCGATGTCAGCGTTCAATCGATCCTTGTCGACATTACCCACGAAGTGACTCATGTTTTCGTTAATTTCACTCATGTCAACGTCTTCTGTCAGACTCTCTGCAATCGTGTCTGCTTCATCCGCCAAAAGACTCTTGATATTATCCAGAATTTCTTCACGTGGTAAAGTCTGAAATTTAAAGCTCAAGTCACGTTCTGTCGAGTTTCGGGCGGAAGATAATTGACTCGAGTCATTGGTAGTCGACCCAGAGATGCTGTCACTGTCGTTGTCCTCCCCCAGGGTGATCCCATTGTACTGAGAGGACCAGTAAGAGCAGCCGATCTGGCAGGACACGATTTTTTGTCTCGCATCGAACAAATATGCATGATAATTTCCATATAGACTCTCGCCCACTCTTGAGCCATAGTTCATTAACCAGTTGGGGGAGTTTGGGGTTTGCCTGTTATCGGGTTTGTTGATACGTTTGGAGTTTGATTGTAATACTGTATTGCTCCAGGAGAGGCAACAACTGGGGCGCAGGGAGAGAAACTTCTTGGCGGTGGAACCGTAGGAGTCCAAGTCACGCATTCGACGACGCTGGGAGAGCATCACGTGGGAGCAGGGCGTCAGGGAAGAGAAACAGAGCTCCAGCATTATGTCTTCAATGTTTAGGTCCACTAGGGTCTCGAATAGGGCTAATGTCACGATGCATAACTGAAATGGAAAATATTTTGTTAAAATTAGTGTTGCACAGGTAAATTTAAGTAGTTAACATGGTTCAAGCAAATCGCCCGTAGAAAACTTCGTGTGCGTACCCAAGGTTTTTCGTTTAATGTACTCAATCAAAAACTTATTAAATAAGCTTCAAAATAAGGGGAATTAGAAGTTAAAAAATGACAACATATATCAATCTCTTGCAACCTGGCTAACGCGCGTGAAGCGCACGTCCCTTCTAATGACAGATAAAAAAACATGTTCTCAAAAAATTATTGCTTGAATCTCAACACAATCACATGTTGAAATATTACAAAAAAATCTGGTGCTAAACATTGAAGAATTCTCTGAGATGAAATTTTTTGTAGTGAAAGTAGATTAAGTTTGCTGCTCGCGAAAAAGATTTATTTTGTGCCAAGCAAGGGAGAGTAGTTCTTCGTTTCGTCTATCTAATACTCAAAGATGAAGAATTAATTCTTGAGTAGAATAATGATGACGATATGATAGTAATCGCCTAGCTTAGGCACAAAATATTTGTCGATTAACTTCACTTTAGAAGAATTACAAGTAGAGCCTTTATTCATGTTTAAGAATTTCGTACGTCCAAATAGAATAATTTCTATTTTGGTAATCATCAACTTGCGATCTTTCAGGTCCAAACAGGACTTTTTCAAGAATATGTTTTTTTCTCTCAGTATACGTTGGATAATAGATTCATTAATGAATATCCGTGAAAATAGTGGGTTTGGTGCTTAAATTCACCAACAAATCTAGAGACTTCTTCTGAAGTCGAGTCTGGCGAGTTGAAGTAATTTCTGGAATTAGGGGCTGTAGAGGAAGCTCTCGAGATAACGATGTTGAGTTGATGTAATCTTAACAGGAAACGTTCTCTACTCAATTTTGAACAATCTCTCTTTTTCCAAGATATATGCGAAATAATTCAGGAATTTTCGTTTTAGTCTTGGGATGAGTCCAGAAATTCTAAATTAGACTCAAATATATTGGAAAAACTAATTGGAAGAGTCATCTTTTTTCCTAAAACTACATTGATTTACCTCTTTCATCTATTCTATTGGTGATTAAACACTAGAAAATTTGTTAACCTCTTCAATAAATGCTCTGTAGATACCCCAAACAGCCCAAAAATACTCACTCGTGATCTCGACGATATCCTCTGGATCAAACTATCAAGAATCCTACACTCATCATAATTTTCCTCCAGCAGAAATTTGATCAATGTCTGCAGCAATCCAGGATCCGTTACAGACCTCAAAAAAAGATCGAAATAAGCAGTTGCAGAGACTAAATCCTCCAAAGAAGGCTGCAGCAATGCAGGTCCCATGACAGGCACCAAAAACCCTTGATAAAGGTACTCCAGAAGTTGATTTTGCACCAGAGGATGAGCAATTTGGGCTACAGCATTGCAGAACTCGAAGGAATGCATCAAGTGATCCAACGCTGGAATATCATTCACATCATCTGGTGTCAAGCGGTGCCAGTCTTCAGTTTCAATGTCCAATTTCCTCGGAAGGACAGAGTAAAGTCCGCTGATACCAGTAGCAAGAACTGGACAAACATTCGAGTGCTCAGCAATGTAAATACCAATGTCATTATTTCTTTTGGATAAAGCCATGCACAGGAGCATCGCGTCTCTCGCCTGCTGTCCAACTGTTCCCTCTCGGTGAATATGAGGCATCAGCAGTGAAAATATTATGAATTTACGCTCCCCAGGTGCGTTGGGATGAAAGAATACGTCGAGTAGTGCTAGATTCTGCATTAGAGCAACGCAAAGTCCGTTCAATAAGACTATTAATTTCTTCTCGACGTCAAGTGGCAAAATATCGTGGGCACAGGCTTCTAGGAGTCTTAGGAGGGGTCTGGCTACTGGTTCGTGAGCGAGAAGCGAGCCATTGAACGATACCAGGATTTCGAAGAGCTTCATCTGCTCCAGACGAATTGTGTTGGTGTACCTGTGATACAAAATAATCATTGAAAATTCAGATGATTCACTTATTATCATTATTATTATTATTAGAAATTTATTGTTTCCTTGAGGTACAAAATATCTCCTAAGGGAAAACCGAAGTAATACATTTTTAACGAAATTTCTTTACAAATAGTCGTTATGTGTCACTATTTGTTTCGTCTTGGTTGATTTTGTTCAATTTTTTTCTCCTGCATTGCAATTCATTATGATTAAACTGTATGGTCTTAACATCACCACAAATTATTTTTCAATTGCACATTTAGCATAATTAAGGATATCCAAGGACTTCGGCTTTTTTTCTCCAATGAAATGCTTTTCTACTTCTGTAGTCGAACATCAGAGCTTTCCTTTGAGCCCCATTTGACCCCAACTTTTCGGACATTTTACAATGGTTTTATTATTTAAACTTTGCAGGTCTGAATTTGAATCTTGATATTAAACCGTTAGAAAGATTTGAAAAATTTGAAAAAAAATTAGAAAATATTGAAATTAGTTTGATGGCAAAAAGCCATCTCTCATGAATTCATTTTTCTCCCTATAGATTGAATGTTATAAACAACTGGTGCTAGAATGTTTACATTATTTTATTTGACCTAAACAAAATGAGGGAATGGAGGAATGAAATGAATGACTCTTTATGTATCAGATTTTCGACCTGAGTTCGTCATCAATTTCTTTGTGTCGTTGTCAGTCTCTCGGAGAGTATCAACGTATCAACGAGTAAAGACGTGCCTTCGAATTAATAAAGTTAGTTGCATCAAACAATTATTAGAGTGTTCTCATTTATTACCATAATCACAACAGAACATGTATTTTTGAGGGGAAGATTGATGAAATAATTAAGAACTTGCAATTCTTTCAAATTACGACCGTTTTCTATCAATCATTTATAAACAATCAATTTTCCACCATAAAAACCACTTATTTGGAATCGTAACAAATTTATTCATATTCGGAATTTTACAGAAATCGATTTCACGCCTAAAAAAATAAAATCTCCGAAAGTTTAAACAATTTCAATTATTAATTTATAAATAACGAATGTTTAAAAACAATTCTGTGCAAAATGTCATTTGACTGACTCTGAATGTTTATGATTTTGTTCAAATTTTTCTCGCGCAATTTAATTGACAAATTTATTATTGAAAATGGTTCAATCTTTTATGTGGTCCGTACCACGGATAGCCAAATTTGTAATATTTTATTACGGTCAATATTGTAGCCCTTAATTAGATCTTGAAATCGTTTAATGATTCCTCTTGAAATTTTTTGAGTATTTAAATATCATGAATTCAAATATTCAAATTTTCAATGATTTTATTAATCAATAATTTCAGGTAGGAAGATTGACGATTACTTGTGTAATCGAAAATCCCCTGTCAAGAAATTCGAATTATTCACTTAGTAGTAAATTTACAGGTTCATATTAACAAATTTGAAATATATCATTATTCGTAAAAAATCAGATTATTAATATTATATTATTGGAAAAATTGAATTAACATATTTTAAACCTTCAATAATGTAAGGGTCAAATCCGTGTACTATTACAGAAATTTAATGTTGATGGGGATCCCTGGTCTGTACCAAACTGTAAAAGATATTTGGATATCCTTAAGGCAATTCCAACGTTATTTTGTCAAAATACAAAAAGACGCAAAAGAGGACTCACAGTCTAGGAATCATTTCAATTGACACTTTCACTAAAAATCAAGCCTCGCTCAGACCAGTTGTCTGAGTGGATTTGTAAAAAATCCAACAATTCTGTGTTAAATGAGTTAATGGAGGACTTTTTCTCTAATTGCTAATGGTAAAGACTTTTCACGTTTTTGGAGAATATCGTGGAATCTGAGGGACGGTGAGAAACTGGGGAGTGAGTGATAAAAAAATTTCTACATGAAAATTTATGCATTTGCTTCGAATTTGAAATGAACACGTTTGACTTGCAGAAATTATATCCTTCCATAGAAAATTCAATGAGTTGCCCATGGTATTGTTACGTGTCCCCCTTCGAATCGTAATTCATTTATCTATGATCTGAAGGAGGCTCTGAAGAACGACTGTCTTTTGGGAGTTCCTTTAATTCTTCTCTTGGAAGTCCTTCGTTGTAACTGTCATCGTATTGCCCGGATTGTAATAATAAACTCCCCCAATTATTTATTAACCTGTGTCCCTTTATTCTCCGCTGGACCTAACATTGGTGTCAGAGTGGTTTGAGTGAAACCCATGTGCCAAAAAGGATTAAAAAATAGTGAAACATCGTAGTGAAACAAGCGTGAAACTGTCAAACCCTTCATCAAGTCCCGATGGAAAAGTAACCAACTCTCCACTGAGATTTTCTGCCATCGAACTCTCTGGATGGACTTTATTCAATTGAGGCTATAGAAAATTTAAATTCTAATCAACTAGTGAGTCTTTGAAATTTTGTTTTCTCAATTGTGTCGGAGAGAGGGAGAAGAAGGCGAGGAAATGTGGGAGAACGCCCAGTCCCTTTGCTTCCGGTTTCTGCCAACATTTACCATCGGATGACAAGTTTGAGCAACAAAATCACGTTCCACTTCAACTTAAAGAATTAGAAAATCATCTCTGACAAATCCAACTGCTCCAAACCCTCCACTAATTCATCAGGATCTCCAACAACGACCTCCATGGAATCCAGTTGCGCCAAACCCTTCAGAAGTTCCTCAAAACCTTTACCAACCACCTTCGGGGAACCAAGTAGCTCCAAGTCCTCCAGAAGTTCTTCAGAACTTCAGAAGGTGCTTCTCTTCTGGTCGTTTCAGCGAACACTCACTTTTGGAAACCAATTAACAAGAAAAAAAAAATCATTCGAATAACCAACTGTGTACATAGTTCGATTATAAAACGTTTGGATTTGAAAATATACCTGATCAAACGTTATTGTGTACACAAATTCTTTGTACACGATCAGTATAGCTCGATCATAAAATAAATACTTGAATGCATTTGATAATAAATTTTAATTATAACCAGTATTCAAGTATTAATCGTATACGGAGACTCGTTATAATCAAGAAGTTGTGAGTTTCTGGAAACTTCTGGAGATAACGAAAGGGAGATCCATTGTTAATCAATGTACCCGTACCTGATTGAGTCTTTTCGTTTTCTTATTTTCTTCTACATTTATAGTTGGGTCACTTGACGTGATTAATTCAGACAGAAAACCGTTACTTGACTTGATTGATATGTAACTGAAGATTGAACAGGAGGAATTGAAAAGAATCAACATGATAAGAAAGACCAGAGGATTAGTTGATAGATAGTCTGTTGTAGCAGACTAACCTCGGTTGATCATCTGTGGTTAACAGATTGCCTGAGTTACATACTTGGGATTTTATGAATCTATGGCACGCAAATTATCAGTGGTTGACTGATTTAAAACTCCGTGGTTAATGGAAGGAATTCGTGGTTAACGAATTGTCAGTGGTTAACTGACTCAAGACTCCGTGATTAACGGAAAGAATTCGTGGTTAACGAATTGTCTGTGGTTAACAGACTGGCCTGATTATTGTCTGTGGTTAGCAGACAGATCTGAACTTTTTTTCATTCATCTGTGGTTAACAGAATTTCCTGAATATCTCATGTCTGACTTTGTTTAAATTAAGTCATTTCAAGTCAATGGACGTATGTGTTGAGTGGATGATGCTTAATTTTTCTTGCTAAGTTACAATAATTTCGAATGCTTTCGAAATCGCAATTATTATTTATCAACATGTTGAAATTTTAGATGATTTACGAAAAATAATTATTTGCTTTCTGGTTCTTTTTAAATGAAATTCATGATCAAATATGTTTTTAACTTGAGGAATTCTTCGTGTTGAGTCATTTTCAGATTCTGGGACCGAATCGGGAATTCGATGTACCTGATTTTATCAAACTGAAATTTGAAAGTGAAATTCGAGTCATACCCTGACACTCACACACCATCGAGATATAGATGATAAATAATAACACATTACTCTTCTAAAGATAACGACACAACCAATTGAAAATTGTACTGAACACTCTTGAAACGTTTGCATTGTACAGCATCAAACAATTGCAAACCGGGCTATTCTTCAGTGTTGATTTCTGGGAGGTTTTAGCTGAAGAACAGACTAGGGTCCTCCCTATGTGAGATCTTACAACTCTCAGATTTTTCAGTTCATTACAACTTCCGTTGAAAAAAAAAAATCCCGAAGTTGTAATATCTCAAATAGTCCCTGGTGTGATTGCGGGGCGGCAATCTTTTTCGCGGTGGGGAGTAGTGTTACGTGTCCCCCTTCGAATCCTAATTCATTTATCTATGATCTGAAGGAGGCTCGGAAGAACGACTGTCTTTTGGAAGTTCCTTCGATTCTTCTCTTGGAAGTCCTTCATTGTAACTGTCATCGTATTGCTCGGATTGTAATAATAAACCGCCCCAATTATTTATTAACCTGTGTGTCCCTTTATTCTCCGCTGGGTTTTGGGCCATTCTACAATGTTCTAAGTAGTGGGAGGAGAAGGGGAAGGGAAATTGAGATAATTTCACATAAAAATGTATCTTCAGAAAAAAAAATAGAGCTCCAAAGGAAGTTTGCCTTTCAGGGGGGCCCTACCACTTGTTTCAAGTACCAGAAGTATTTGATGGAAAAATTGGGCATATTAAAAAAATTTGCTTTTTTATTTATCAAAAAATATAAGCATGAAATGTCGAATTTTCCTTTTTCAATAACTTTCTTTTTTTGTTTAACATAAGGAACTGAGTGATTTCAAATTTCATACGATTGATTTTGCGAAAGTTCATCTCAAATACACAAAGAAAATTTCTTTGAAAAATATTGAAAAATGACGATTCGATAGGAAAAGAAAAAAAATGTTAGATATTTGCATATTTTCATCACAAAAATTCATCCAAAAATCGTTTCTTCTGAAAAGTCACACATCGTCATTCTATCGATTATTTTCGTTTCTGAAGCTTATTAAAGACTTGTTTTTAATAAAAAATGACATGTCATTGATAAATCAACATTCCATGATATTTCATGCCTACACTTTTTTTACCTAAAGAAAAAATTGAAAATAAAATTTCCAAAATTTCCCATCAAATACTTTTCTTACTTGGAAAAAGCGGTGTGACCCCGCTTAAATATTTAGCTAAACTGATATTGAAGATGGTCAGCTTTTGAGGCAACTAATTGAAAACGTAGTTTGGGGCATGTATCGATAAAGTACGAACCTTCCTGCAGTTAAGCTCCATTCGGAAAGATCGTCCAATAGATTCTCACTCAGTAAATACTCCAAACAGGGGGAGTGCGAGGGGGTATTTGTCATTTGCTGATGCTGATGATTAAGCCCAACACTGTTCCTGAATTCCAGCAATAAGAGTGTCACCATTTGGTCAATGTGGTTGACAACTGCAAGGATGTCGTCGTGCAGCGGCACTCCATTATTCGACTCCACAAATAAACAAAAATTATCCAATTAATCTGAATGAAAGATTATTCCAAGCAGGTAGGGTGAACAGGTCAATTGCTAGACGGTTAGGGGAAATTCGAATTTTGTGGTAGGATCTAAAATAAAAGAAGCACCTCAATAGGAATATAATAGCTTCCGCACCTTCAAAAATTTATTAATTAGCAAAAAGAAATTATCTCTAGCAAACATATTAAAACAAAGAATAATTAAATTGAGAAATAATTGAATGCAGCTGAAACCCTTAATTTCTGGACGACCGGGCCATATTTTTTTTATTCACTAAATCTCGATCAATCGAAAAAATAATTGATTGCATGATTTTACACGAGTAATATTTATTATTAAAAAATAAAATAATCAGTACAATTTTCATTTTAGTATTTATGGAATATTCAATGGAAGTAGAAATCGTCCAGAAACTAATCCCCGTCCAGACATTGACTTTTTTACCCTAGTTCAAAGGAAATTAGGTAGCGCAGAGTGGCGCAACATGAACATCTGGGATACAATGGACACACAAAATTTACGAAAAAATTTTTTTTTTCAAAATTCAAATTTTTCAAAATTATTTGATTGGGCAACAAAAAAGGATGTTCGAAAAATTTTCAATAATCGCATTTTAAAAAATGACTTCTTGGCAAAATCCGCCACCGAAAAATTATTCAAGAGTGGGGTAAAATGGCCACGCGAAAAAGTTGGTCCTATTCAACTTTTAAGGCCCGGGTGGATTATCTTTCCAACGTGATCTTGATCGTTTTTATTATTTTGATAATCAGAAATGATCTCCAATTGCTATTCAGTTTTACATAGCCCTGGAGTCTCCAAAAATTATGATTGTACAATCAAAAAAACATTGAAAAAAAGCTGAACATTTTCAAAGAGCGTTTTTGAATAATATTGGGAAACAAACCCAATAGGGAGGAAATTGCAAATTAATAATTTGATGTATCTGATGGCTGTTAGGTCGTCATTTGTCACAGTAGTCAATGGCCGTCAGATCGTTAGTTATCATGATAAATTATTCATTCACTATTTCCTCTCTATCGGACTTATTTCTTAATCTTTATTAAAAACGCTCTTTGAAAATGTTCCGTTTTTCTTCTACTTTTTTTGATTGTACAATCATAATTTTTAGGGTCTCCTGCGTGATGTAAAATCCATTGGAAATTGTAATATATTTTACATTATGAAAATGGAAAAACAATTGAGATAATGTTCGAAAGACAATCCATCCGGGCCTTAATCAAGAAAATTTTCAACAGACATTTTCCAACAGAATTGTGTCGGTATATAAAATTAACTTATTTGAGGAATAATTTTCAAAATCTTGTGACCGGCTATGTAGTTTCAGACTGGGGCGGTGGTGAAGGAACGGATCGTAAAAGTACGACAGGTTATCTTTTCAAGCTCTATGAATGGTGTACGATATTTTGGAATACGAAAAAGCAAGCTTCTGTAGCCAGCTCTTCAACAGAGGCTGAGTACATGGCTCTCTATGAAGCTGTTAAAGAGGCACTATGGCTAAAATCTTTAGCTATAAGTATTAATGCTTATATTTCTGATCCTATTATTATACATGAAGATAACACCGGTTGTATTAGCATAGCAAATAATCCGAGTAGGCATAAACGATCAAAACATATTGATATTAAATACCATGTCACAAGAGAACAAGTCGAGAAAAATGTAATTAAATTAATATTTATTTCAACAGGTAATCAAGTGGCAGATATGATGACGAAACCACTGCCAGCAATCAAATTCCTGGAATTTAGAGTTGGACTAGGCCTGCTATAACTCGACACAGGCCATGACTGATAATTTTTGATTTAATGTTCTTTGTTCTTTTATAGTCTCATAGTCTGATTAGGTTTTTCTGGGTTTCCCCAATCCAATGCAACAAATGTTGGACTATTTTGTTAGCCCCAGACATAAATATAGAAAGCGCGAGGAAGGTCTGTCTTAAGTAATATGTTAATTTTTAATGAAATGTGATTATTTAAGTTTTTTTTTGAGTTTCGTATAAAGTTAATACTATGTCACGACGATTCATTTTTGAAGAGGCGTATTGGATTATTGCGTTTAATTCTTTATTTCAAATGACGGTTACCAAAACGAATCGACGTGGACGGCGCCAGAGAGTCACCCGAGAGTCTACATAAACATAAACAATATTTTCTGAGGAAGAAAGAACAGAGGGGTCTTTCATTAGGTGACGAATTTTCTTTTGGTCTTTGTGACTAGCTTTTAGTCTCCTGGAGAGATCCGTGGAGTACAGACGTTTCTTCCTCGTGCCATTTTAAAGAATAAAAGATTTCAAGTTTAATCCACTGCATTGAGTACTCATTTATATATCCCACTACCAATAAATTCTATTAAATTTTGCATTGAAGTTTGAAATATAGAGTAGCTTTGGATTTCCTGTTTTACTATTGAAATACCTTCAAAAGTATTGATTTTTTTCAATGAACAATTGCACGTCCTACACAACTGACCTTTTGTGAATTAGCGAAATTTGTCAGATAGCTACTTATCTATGTACAAAGGAAATCACCGTAAAACAATGGGAGGAGGGGAGGAAGAATGAGCTAATAAAAATTTAGTTTACCACCCCCGACGACAAAACTCAAAAATGAGTTTTGTTCAATTTGAAAATCGCAGTTATGACTAGTGTTTCAGAAATTAAATAACATGGTTAAAACATAAAAAAGTGAGAAAGAAATTGAAGTATCCATTTTACCCCGATTTTGCTTTACCTTACAACTCCTACGACGGAGTCTTATGACAATGTGTTCATTTTTACAAACTTCAAATGAAGTCGGAACAGTAATTTTGATCCAATTCAACTCATTATTTTAATCTGGTGTCCATATTGCCCCACCCTCCCCTACCAAACGATATTTTCCAAAAGGTAGTTGTTAAATTACTTATGTTCAACATAAATGCACAATGTACAGTTCAAGATTCCTCTTTTGCCTTATTCTTAACTTGTCTCGTTAACTATTCAACTATTTCATCAATCAGGGAATTCCTGAGAAATTCTCGAGTGATCTTTTCTGTACAAAATTCAGTCAGCTCAGCCTCTGGACGTTCTCTAAATTCACTAGCTCCGAAAGTAAATGATCTTATCATATAACTCATGTGATGAATTGAATTAACTCTGTGATGATTCACTTCAGGAGAGATAACCAGTACTTCATCTGTAGCAAATTTTCACAGCTCCAGAAACTGCCTCTCGACATTTTCTCCTAAACTCATAGCACCCTTCATTCAATCCTCTCTTCTACGAATTGCTCCATCAAACAAACAAATAAACAGAATTGTACCCTGGCCTGCCTGATGATCTCATGCGTCTGCTGCCAGTGTTTACAGAAGCTATCGTAGCACGCAGTGGGATCAGCATCTTTAGGAGGTGAATCCCTCGACCATTGTTTCCCAAAACTATTCCTCAACGGGCTACTCCTTAACCAACTCATTTTCACACCCAAATGACTCCCTAACTTTCATCAACTGCGAAGATAAATATTTTTAGACCATAACCTCATACCAAAAAAATCACTTTCACTCATTCCCTCATTAATTCTCCTGACTATAAATAAAACATTACGAATTGCACACTGATAACACTAGAAGTTGTTGCGTTTTACAGAGAATTGACGTAAAACTATAGTTCTTCTTCTTAATCACACGACTACATTTCGCATACACTTTTCTCACGATAAATGTCTTATCTAGGAACACCTAAAACATGCAAATGCAGCAAATGTATCAAGTACACACCACACATACGAAAATGGAGTAACGTCAATTGCGTTTTATAACTAGGTGGCGTGGCGCTCCTCTAGCCGCCTAGTAAATTTGAACGAAAAATTTCGAGCCCAAAATCCTCTTTCATGCGGAGCGAGGTTGAACGTGTAAATTACATTAGTAAATTACCCCCTTTTTTACCAACGTAATTTACGTAAATTACCGCCACGGATTTTTTACATTACTTTGAAAAGCTTGCAATTTTCGGTTACTAGAATGTTTTATTTTATTCCGTCTGACGGAGACGCAGTATTGGACACATAAATATCATAAAAAATAGTATATTATATCCCGAGGACAGATAAGCTGCGAATTTTAACTTCACATTGTTCGGTTAGAATGCGGTTCTCGGCCCTTGGGGCACAAAATATTATTACATCACGTGTGGCACGATATTTACGACATTTGAAGAAACTCAAAAACATGAGCCTCATACCTCATAAAGAGTCAATTTTGCGAGGGTCAAACGTTGCAAAACACTAAAGTCACAAGACATCTCCATTGTGAGAAAGTCAATCTCATTATTTATTGAGGTTGATTGGATTCTCCACTTTATTATTTAGAGCCCCAGAAAATCCGAATTGGACCTCTGCAAAGAACCATCTTGTTCTGAAGAGTTCAAAAGAGCTACCAAAGACAATTGAATTAGTTTTGTCATTTAAGAATACTAAATGCAACAAGTTAATGCCATCAAGACGAAAGATGATGAGGCGACAAATTTAATAGAGATCAATTAATAATGAGATTGACCTTTGTAAAGTTCATCCCTTACACGGTATGACCCTTACGAGGTGTTACCCTCGAAGTGTATGATGGCGACTCAAAAAATATTTTTGCCACTACCATCTAAAATTTAACAGGACACCGGCAATATATCGATAAATTGTCGAGATACTGTTTGCTGGGAAGGTATGAACCTCTCGTGACTTTTATCCCCCTCGCGAGGTATACTTCGCGACACTTCATCGTGGTTTACGATAAAAGGTAACGTCGGCTGGTTTTTTATATTTTTTTACATTTATCACGCAAATTATGGGTTTTTGCTTCCGAATGGAAGCATTGTATTCCTCCGAATTTAAGTTTCCAGTTTTCTTCGTGAAGATGACTAATTTGGGGGTCAGGAGTCCGAATCTGATGTTTTTAGACCCTGTCCGTATGTATGTATGCGCGTGTGTATGTGTGTATGTGACCGATTCAGTTTTTTCACGATAACTTCCAAAATAATTATCTGAATCAATTGAATCTGGACTAGAAATATGCGCTTGTACGTTATACAGACCGAGTTCGAAGATGGTGTCGATTGCGCTTTTAGTTTTTGCATTATTCTCAATAATTTGGCCCAAGGTTGGTCCAATGTTGGCCCAAGGTTGGTACAAGGTTGGCGCAAGGTAGTCCCTTATTATAAGGGGGTTTATAAGGGTCTTATGCGGGTTTATGAGGGTCATATGAGGGGGGTTGCCAGGGGGGGTTGCTAGGGGAGGTTGCTAAGAGAGTTGCAAGGGGGGGTTGATAGGGAATTGCTAGGGGGGTTGCTAGGGAGGGTTGTTATGGGGGGTTGCTAGGGGGGTTGCTATGGGTAGCGTCCCCTGATCTTTCAGCGACGCCTAAATATGAGGGTCGTATGAGAGTATTATGGGGGTCATAGGGGTGATAAGGATGATCAGGGTAATGAGGGTCTTATGGGGACGTATATCATCAGTTAATGGCAAAGTGCAATGAAAAGGCAATATCCATTCGGAAGCATATTGCTAATTCATTAGCAAAAACAGGCACCATACTTGACACAATTGAAAGCAATTTCCCAGTTGTTAAAAATGCCATGTAAAAAACTGCGGTTACCGAGAGATGACCCCAATCCTGATGCGAAGCGGGATTAATTAAATCGCAGGATTTCTGCTACTCTAGAAATCTCGTGTTTTACACATAAGTATTCGAAAGAAATAAAAAAAAATTGTCAAAAATTTTGACCATTGAATGTCAACGATTCAGGCAAAGTCTAATCTTTCTTTTCCAACGATTCAAAATGACGATTTGACGGCGAATGGGTCGGTAGGGGAACCGAATAATAAAATGATGTAAGGGGAAAGGAACAGAGAAACCGCAGTGGGGGACGGCAGAAGCTATTACAGCGACCTCTCGTGCTATTGAGAGAAACACTTTTGCGGGATACTTGACATTACCTTCCTTTATCATCCCTTAGCGGCTAGAGCTCTCTCCTTGAGATCGAGCTTGACACTTGCCTCTAAGGATTAAATAGAAGAAGAAGAACTCAAAGAATACAACTCACGTGTCAGTTCTCGATTGCCGGTATGATTGTGCCTCCAAAATTTTGATTTTGTTAAAGATTTTTCAGTGATTTTCTAAAGATTCAAAAGATCTAAAAAAATTTGTCTGTTTTTTTTTATTATTCATAAAATATTATGCGTTAACTGATGAATCATTTTCGAATATAATTCTCAGGTATTATCCTAGGAGTTGGAGGTTACAAAAAGGAAAAGGTACCTAATATAAATAATATATAGTAATAATATAAGATAGATAATAATAATAATATTTAGAAAAAGCGTGATATCATGTAATAGAGGAGTATTTTTAAAAAAATTATTCATGTAATAACAATCCAAAATTTTACGAGGATATGGCAGCGATCAATTTGATGAATCTCGGACGAGAGAAAATCGAGGAGATTGTGAATTCTTTTGATACAATTTTGGCGGACTGCGATGGTAATGTAATGTCCAAACATAATTTTCAATATTTTCAAATTATTTAATTAAAAATTGATCATTTTTCTAAAAATTAGTAAAATTAGTAAAACTACCTGAATCGAAGCTAGTTAGCACAGTCCATGCTGATGCTATCTGATTAGCAAAAATTCAAGTGTTGCACCACATAAATTTAGTGGGTCAGCACTCATTTTCAAAACTGAAATTATAAATCAAATAAGTCGTGTATCGCTCTTCGTCCTGAGTGGTCGAGTCTTAAAGGAGGCTTCCTTCCCATTAAGGATATCCTAGTATTTTGGCTATTTTTTCTCCAGTGAAATGTTTTTCTACTTTTTTTGTCCGACATAAGAGCGTTCATTTGAGCCCCATTTCACCTCAAGTTTCTGGACATTTTACATGAGTTTATTATTTGAACTTTGCAGGTCTAAATTTGAATCTCGATATTGAATCGTTAAAAAACGTTTTAAAAATCTGACAAAGTTTTCTTTTGGACAAAGATTGATGAAATAATTTAAAAATTGCAATTTTTGAAAATTGCGAGCATTTTCTGTAAATAATTTATAAACAATCAATTTTTCACCATAAAAATCATTTTTTCGGAATCGCAACAGAATTATTCATATTCAGAATTTTACCAAACTTTGCTTTCATACCTAAAAAAATTAAGTTTCCGAATGTTTAAACCATTTCAATTATTTATTTATAAACAACAAATGTGTTAAAAAATAATAATTCTATACAAAACGTAATTTGAATAACGCTGAATATTCACGATTTTTTTCCAATTTTTCTCATGCAATTTAATTGACAAATTTGATGATTGAAAATGGTTAAATCTATAGTGTCGTCTTTACCAAACTGTAAAAGATACTTAGATATCCTTAAGGGGTCTCCTCAGTAATTTTCGCCACAAAACGACAATGTGCTAGCGAATTGAATATGTAATATAATAATCAAAAATGGTAAAAGGAAAATTGAAAAAAAAAATTTTGTCCCTTACCCCTCACCCTGTTGACAATGTGCTAGCCAACAAAGGAAGCTATATTAATTTATATTAAACTCTCAAAAATAAGGGAATGAAGTCTCATCGAGTTTTGCCAGTAATTTGTTGAATAAATTAACGATAAAAATAACTGGCGTGATGTCTGTCACTATCCAACGTACGCCATGTTCGATGTTTCGTCTCTCTCGAAAATAACCTCACTAACTTGACCATTTTACGCTCCACTCACCAGCGCGCCTATCCCCGTTTGCGCTACTGAGGAGACCCCTTAAGGGGAAACTACTATGAGTTTTAAAAGTCGCCTCGTTTTTTATTTTTTTTTTTCGAATTTTCATTCATTACTTTATCTGGTGAAAAATATCATGTGACACACAGCCCGACTATTCAGAAATTCGTTTTCATCTTCAACTATTTTACCACTTCAATGCAGCCATTTTTTAATTGGTCAATGATCAGTTAATGGTAAAGCAATATTTTTATCATTTCGCAGGAGTTTTATGGCGTCAAAACAATTCAATCGCCAACGCAGCGAATGTAATAAATGCATTTCACAAGACTGGAAAGAGCATTTTCTACGTGACTAATAATAGTACAAAAAGTCGAGAAGAATTTGTTGAGAAAGCTCAAAATTTGGGTTTTATTGCAAGCGCCGATAATGTTCTGTGTACGTCGTACTTAGCTGCTAAATATCTACAGAGTATTAACTTTGAGAAAAAGGTGTATACGATTGGATCGTCAGGTTGGTAAAGTTGAATAGATTTAGCTATTTAGCTAAAACTCAACATTTTTGGTTCAAGAGTGAGTCTGGGATCGTTGGCGGTGCAATCTCGTAGTCTTTGTTGCAGTATATAAGGAGCATATTGGGCAACTTTTAATATGTGATGAGACGTTAAAAATTGGGAAAAATGATGACTACAGTCGACTTTATCCCGTAAATTAACGAAAAACAACGTTGTTTTATCTTTTAAATCGTCTAAGTGCCTCAGTTTTCATCCGATTGAAGTTTTTCTTTTTCCGCAAATATTTCTTTGGACTCCAAAGATTACAGGTATGCATTTATATCAAGGTCCATTGAATAGACTATGGAAAAATTGAAGCATTTCATGCACGAAATAATTTAATAGAAAAACCTATCGAATTCGTTAGAAAATTCTATTGAATTTCTATTAAACCTTCTATTAGTTTTTGGCTGATTCTATTCACATGTTCAATAGAAAAAGTCAACAGAATTCGATTTTTTTATATAACTTTGTAATCTTTTAAATAACTCTTTTTAAACATAAGAATTTTAGATACGGAATGCGAGGTTTGACGAGAACTGCAGCCTAAGCAACACTGCAGGTGTTCGCGAATGCATACCAGGCATCACGCGCGTCACTCGCAACACTCAAAATTGCTGAAAAGACAGATCGTTCCCATCCTAAATAAATTCGAAGTGGGAAAATCACGCCATCTCTTCCACCAACAAAAACTGCCGCGAATATTCCGCGACCCTAGAACTCCCAAAAAATGCATATTATAGTCAATCTAAAAACACCTTCGGAGTTGTAGTTATCTCGGTGGAGTCTTAACGTGGAATTGATCTGTCTCTTCGATCCTCTCAATAATAATTCGCATGAAAGTCGATATATTACGCGCAGTGACTAGTTGAATAATAGTAAAATAGTGATCGGACTGAAGTGTACAGGGATCTGCGATCCTTTAATCGAAATTAGGGCTAGCTCTTGCATGTTAAGAAATAAACTATGGTTACGCGAGTGTGGATATTCTCAACAAAAACATTTAAAATCAAACCAACTGTTGATTAACTCAAGTGGGTGGGCGTATTTGAAAGACAAATATTTATGATAGTGTTGAGTGTACAAGCTGATCACTGGTAAAGAAAACGTCCTTGAAGTACCGAAAGATCCATACTAATTCAAGCAAACTGCAAATTTAAATGGGAGTAAAACAACGAACCATTCACGTCAATATTCAATCAACCTGTTAAATTTGAAAAGAAACCTTCCAGGGAAAATTCGGCTTTAAAAGTAAAATTCATTAAAAAAGAAATCTAACCAAATTCAAAAATTCGCATAATCGAAAGAAACAAGAAAAATAAATCAATTCTTTGCAGCATAACCATAACCCGGAATCTTCGACTGAATTTCCTCTCATCCTCAGAAACCCTGGAATTCCCTTCCAAAATTTAATAAAAATAGTAAACAAGGTAAGAGCTATAAACGAAACTTGGCGTCGTCCAAATAAAATAAAATAACAGTAAAATATAAACCTCAATTTCTCATCCGGAACTTTAATTATTAATCATTTTACTTAAAGAATTCTAGCCTCATGTTACCGGAATTCACATAAATTCATAAAGTTGTCCTTCGACGCTGATAACATCTCCGGACATAACAACTTATTCTTTTCATATATTGTCTATAGAATTTGCTCGACTCAAATTTTCTAAGTTTTTTTCATTCTATTTTTCTTTTTTTCTCATCAAGAAAATGAAACGAAAAAACTTAGAAAATTTGAGTCGAGGAAATTCTATAGAAAATATCTCAATAGAATAAGTTATATCGAAAAATTAAATTCTATTGACTTTTTCTACCCAATATTTTCTATTGAACATTTCAATAGAATCGGCCAAAAACTAATAGAACAGTTCAATACAAATTCAATAGAATTTTCCAACGAATTCGATAGGTTTTTCTATTAACTTTTTTCGTCCGTGTTTTTTCCCGTTTATCGCATTCACATAATTTTTCATTAAAAAAAAATTTTGTTATGATCCGTTGAATAGATCGTAAAATGGACGCATACCTTTGTTCTTTGGAGACGAACGGTCATTTTGAAAAAAAATGTGTGAACTGATAGACGACTTCTGAGTACTTCTTATCAACACTGTAACCCACTATTGTATTAAAATCTACTGGAAGTTTTCCCAGTACTTCACCAGTTTTGAAACTGTGAAGTTGCGAAATGTGCTTGAAAAATACACAATTTCTGCCTATTCATGCAATTTGAGAATTCCGGCGAGGGACATTTTTTCTGTTGAGTTGAAGAAAGACGTTAACCCACAGTCCATAGGATAAAATTCATCTTTAATTTAATTGATTGCCAAAGGTTCACGGCGAAAAATTTTCTAGAAAAATTCTAGTACAAGTACTGGAGATAATCACAATCCACCGGCTGTGAAAAATTTTAGTGCTGTTAAGGTAAAATTTCTTGGTATTTCTGGTAAAATTTCTGGGGATTTCTCTGAAAGTTTCACAGAAATACGGGGAAAAATTCACATTTTCCCCAATAAAATTTCTAGTGCCGGCAGTCGAATTTTTTCCTGGCCGTCACTTTGCGTCTCTTTTCCCGTGCTAGCACTAGAATTTTACTAAAAAATTTCTCTCCGTATTGGAAATCACGATTTTCCACGTAATTGTCATGATTTCCACGCGATTTCCAGACGATTACACCGGCAAGTGGCACCGCGATTTCCGAAGTTACCAGCCCCTTGGTTTTTTTACAAGTTTTATGCGAATAGCTAACAAACCGATAAGGCAATTATTTACATGATCTAACGAGTTCTAAGTTACATGAAGACGCATCGATTGAATCGGTTCATTTGTTCAAGAGAAATCAACATTTTATTTTCACAGTCATTACAATAACTTCCTCCATTTGGATTGGGAAGTTGAAAAATTTTCAGTCGGTTGAAAACTGAGACACTTTGATGATTTTAACAGCATTTTTTGTTGATTTACGGCTCAAATGGATTGGGCTCGTCATTTTTCCGATTTTTCAACGTATGCCATTATCTATCAATATTCGCTCCAATAAATCACGAGGCTCTAACGAGGGCTTTTAAATTTCACCCTGGTCTCCCCTTAACCCTCTAAGATAAATTTCAATATCCCCACTCTACGGTAGTCAAAGCGGAATGCCAGCGTCTCCACTCGAACGCCTTACTACGCTTTTATTTACTACGCTTTTCATCTTACAGGATTAAGGTGCTCCGCAGGAAAAAAAAAATAATGACATTCATCTGGAACTCATATAGAATGTTTATAATCACGATTGAATTATCTACGAATTTTCCTAGAATTTTTTCAGATTTCCTTTTCAAGTTATTAACGATTAAAGTCGCTTCTTATACATGAGGTCTTATGGAGATTTTTGCTTCCGAATGGAAGCATTGTATTCGTCAAATCTAAAATTTCCATTTTTTGTCATGACTAATTTTGATCTCAGGAGTTCGAATATGCTGTTTTTATAATAGATCATGTAGTCCGTATGTATGTATGTATGTGAGCTTTTTTCCAATTTTGTTTTTCGACGATCATTCAAAAAATAATGATCAAAATCTTTTCAATTATGGCTTAAAATATTCGTTTGGACGTTATTTCGGTCGGGTTTCAAAATAGTGGCCATCGCATGATTTCCTTTGAAATTATAGCCTTATTAGGCGGCCAATTTGGGCCGACATTGATAAGGTCAAGTCGCAGACAAGACAAGGTTAAGTCAAGGTTGAACTTCCCTACTAACCTCAAATTGATAACAAAAAACCGGGTTTTGGTATACAATACGTACCCCTGCCAGATACCCTGCTAGATATTGTCACATTGAGAGTGGGTTGCCAGAGGTGAATTTAGAACTCTTCGGAGCACTTTATATAATTATATAAGTGGCCGGGTAGGTGTACGGGACCTCCCATTTCGCCACCTTCCTTCAAAAGGCAAATTTATTTTAATAAATTAATTTAAAGATAGTCACTTTCTAAATTCCCGAGCATGGTAAAGCATCGAATTACGAGCCTTACCAGCTCTTGGCGTTACCCAGGACCCACGGCGCGGACGTGGCTGGCATCGGATCCCAAAAATTCCCAAATATAAAATTTATATTGAGAAAGGGTCCGGATAGTCTACCAATACCAAAAACCGAGTATGCACTTTTTTGTTTTAATTCGATTAAGGAGGGACCCCGGTGAAATTTAAGTCTTCGGTGGATCTGGGGACTTATTGAGCGACTGCAGTAATATGATGGGATATTTTAAAAAGTGGAAAAAATCCCGGACCCAATCGGTTTTGCCCCGTACTTCCACGGAAAACGTCGTTTTTCATGTTTCTACCTTTAAAACGTTCCTCGTTCCCCAATTTTTATCCGATTTAATTTTTTTTTTCAATATTCGTGAGACTCCAAAGAACGAAGTTAAGCTTCCGTTTTACGATCCATTATATAGATCATGAAAAAATCGAAAAAAAACGAAAAAAAAATAAAAAGGGGAACCCCCTTTTCCTTCTGATCGTCAACTATTCAAAATGAAGACTTTTCAGGCATAATGCAAAGACAATCAGAAGGGAAAACCCTTTTTTTTTTTTCGTTTTCTTTCAATTTTCTCACGATCCATCTAATGGATCGTAAAACGGAAGCTTAACTTTGTTCTTGAGAGTCTCACAAACATTTTGAAAAAAAAAATCAAATCGGATCAAAATTGGGGAGTGAGGAACGTTTTGAAGGTAGAAACATGAAAAATGACGTTTTCCGTGGAAGTACGGGGCAAAACTGATTGGGTCCGAGATTTTTCCCAGTTTTAACATATATCCCATCATAGAATTAAAGTCGCTCAATAAGCCCCTTAGATCCACCGAAGACTTTCAAATTTCACCGAGGTCCCCCCTTAATCCATGCGGGAGCAAATTGCTAATTTATTAGCAAAAAAACTATCTCGATTTACACCTGTGCGATAGGCTACTTGTTCTGTTTAGTACGAAACTGTTTTACCATGTGAGCTGATAATATTGTTTCGTACTAAACAGAAAAATCTCCATAAGAGCTCATGTATAAAAAATGATTTCAATCGTTAATAACTTGAAAAGGAAATATGAAAAAATTCTACGAAAATTCATAGATAATTCAATAGTGATTATAAACATTCTATATGAATTCCAGATGAATGTCATTATTTATCTTTTTCGCACGACACACCTTAAAAATATTCACCCATTTTAGAGAAAATCAAATTTTTTCATGTTTGAGAGAAATTCTGATGATGTGTCTTTCTGGACCTCCTAATTTTAAAGATATTTCCTGAGAACAGATTTGCCCTGCTCTACGCTATGTAAAAAAGCATCTTGGCGGGATCCATTTGGAAACTTACTATATACCAAAGGAATTAGTAGAAATGAAAAAGGAAGAAAAAAATTAAGCTCAGGAAGCTCGTATGCTTCCTGTTTCATGACTTCTATTTTCCTGCTTGTTTCATGTAGATATTGATATTTAGGAATCACGAAGGAGTTAGATAAAGCTGGCATCGCTTATTGTGGTGTTGGACCCGATCCAGTCATCGAGAATTTCAATTACGTCGAAAACTTTACCCCAGACCCAGATGTTGGGGCTGTTCTCGTTGGATTTGACGTATATTTCAACTACGTTAAAATGCTGAAGGCTGCAACGTACCTTAATAAGAAAGATATTCTGTTTATTGGGACCAACACGGATGAAAGATATGCTGCCTCCGAAACAATCATCGTACCATGTATGAAATTAATAATAATTTTGTGAACTACGAAACAAGTCCGGAGAATCCTACTCCTAACTTACTTCTTTTAAAGGCATTTCCGGAACAAATTGCAAATTCCTCTTTTTTTGTCTAAAGATAATCTGCAAATGTTTTGGAAAGAAAAAGTCTAAGCATGAAATATCACGAAGTTTTGATTTTTCAATTCAATAATATTCTTTTTCTATTCAACAGAGAGAATTGAGTGATTTCAATTTCTATATAAAAAACATATCGGTGAATAAGGGATTTAAAATTTGTCCTCTTCGCCCCGCTTCTCTTTCCATGTCGATTAATTTCAATTTCTAACGAGGAACCAGCTGATGAAGTCGAACAATTCTGCATATAATATTCCATATGTATTGCAATTTGATTATTGGTTGAAGATTTTGTGATGAAAATATCCATCAAAGTATTATTTCTTCTTCAATTTCTTATTGAAAATTGGTATTTATTATCTTTTCGAATTGTGAAAACTCTACTAAACCTACAATTTTTATTATTTTCAAAAAAAAAATTGTGTATTCGATATGATAAAAAAGTGAATGTTATTGCAAAGAAAGCAAACCAATTTTTATATTCTTCATTTAACAATTTTTTTAGGTACTGGAAGTATTGTAAAATGCATCGAGACATGTTCAGAACGTAAGGCAACGATTATGGGAAAACCGGCTCCCTACACTGCGATTATGTTGCAGAATGAATACAAAATTGATCCAACACGTACACTAATAATCGGTGACCGTGCAAATACGGACATTCTATTTGGTAAAAGATGTGGATTCAAAACACTGCTCGTTCTAACCGGTGTCTCAACCACCAGTGATATCGATAATTGGAAAAAATCCAATGATCTAAACGATAAAGAATTAATTCCAGATTACTATACTCAAACAATCGGTGATCTTCTACCGTATATAAAAAATCTAAATAATTGATGATTATCCGTTCTAGAAAATGTAATATCCTTATTTTCGTATTCTTCATAATAAAATACTTTTCAAAAATATAATAATTAATAATTTATTTATTCCACTGTGTGCTTTCAAAACTATAATATTTGTTCAATCCAATGATAACTGTGACTGTAGTCACAGTAGATATATCTAAATATTAACGTACGAAAAAATCCTATAGGATTTTCGATAGCATATCTTACAGGATTTCCTATAAAATTTAGGGGCATAAGGGTCACAATGAGGGTCAAAAGTGTTATCATGTGGGAATCATATCAGGGTCATATGGGGTCATATAGGGGTTATATGAGGGTTATATAGGGATTATACGGGGGTCATATGAGGATCAAATGCCCTTCATACGACCCTTATATGACCTACGTATAACCTTCATGTCCTCATGTGACTCACATGTGACCCTTATATGGCTCCCACACGACCCCCATATGATTCTTTTGACCCTCATTCTGACTCTTATGACCCTAAATTTCATAGAAAATCCTATTGAAAATCTTATGGAATATCCTATAGGAAATCCTATAAGCCATCCTGTAGGAAATCCAATAGAAAAAATCTAATACGGAATCCTCTAAGAAACCTTATAGGATATCCTATAGGAATTTTTCAAACGTGCGCGCTCTATGGATATTTCGTAACTTCTTGAACTGTTGCCATCACAGCATTCCGAATAGGGGAGGGTAGGGTAAAATGGACACTTTTCACTTTTTTAAAACTATTCATAACTCATAAATATATTTATCAATTGAGCTCAGTCTGAGCTCATCACAAAGGAGAAGAATGGCCTTTTTTATTGCGAAAAAAATGATACAATTTCATAATAAACGGACACTTTTGACTTTTTTTTTTATGTCAATGAGGAGTTGAAATGTTGATAAAATTTAATAATTTTTTTTCTCAATACAAAGAACAATTCTTTCCCTTTGTGACGAGCCTAAACTGAGCACAATTGATCAATTTGTTTCTGAGTTATGAATAATTTTAAAAAAGTCTAAAGTGTCTGTTTTACCCCCCCCCCTCCCCTAAGTCATTAGCATTTGAAAAAAAAAGTAAAAAGTGTCCATTTTACCCCATCGTCCCCTAATTGGGATAGTTTTAAGAATTGATAAAACCTCTGTGGACGCAATTAAGAAATGGAAAAAATATGGTGTGATAACACCACCTTAGCAACACTCTCCCCCCCTTTGAAAGAGTTGCTTGGAACTCATCTCCAAAATTGGCGCCATTTATTATGAACATCGGTAGTTCGTGCGCCACCGCTATGGAATACCATCTCGCTCATCCCGCTAGCCCGTGTGATGAAAACGTCTGCATGTGGTGAGTGGTGGTGACAGTGGTGAGGACCTACCTTGGGGGTGGAGCTCAGGCAGGCGTCTCACCAATTACTCAACGTCAGTTACTAATTTTTATCATCAAATAATTCAGTTCCTCGTTCTATCCAAACTCAATACTCCAATAAATCGACTGAATCGTCCAGAACAGGTGAATAAATTGTCTTTGATCTCCACTTTTGTAATGGAGCAGAAGGAGAACAATTAATACCGCTACGAAATATCCGTGAGAAACAATTGAAAACAGTGGAATTGAATCATAATTTTTAATACTTAATAGACAAACGATTACCGTAGGAATCTCAGAGTTCCAAATTTCAAGTTTCAAATTTTGAATTGGCGGAAAATAGTGTAGAAAAGCAGAGAATGATGTTGAAAAATGTCCGCATGTTGGGTGGGTGTGTGTGTATGCTCATGTGATCACTCAAATCTAATGTTTGTTGATTTTTTAAAGCAAAGTTTTCGGATTTTGTTACAATTGAGGACACAATGGCACATTTTTTAGGACGTTTATACCCTCATCAATTTAGTATTTTTTCAATATCTCATTTTTATCGGCAAATTATTATTCTTGTTCATACGTAATGTTGCAGTGAAAAGGTGACTCAGTTGTTGAACGGAGCAATAAGTGCTCCGAGAAATAGAATGCAATCCACTCGTGAAGAAGTAAAACAAGAAATGCTTGAAATTTACCTTCGAAGAAACTTTAAAAAAAAAAATTCTCTGGGCTGCAATAGAAGGTCTTCACAAAATTTGTCTATCAAGCCAACAAATATTTGCACAATACTGTTTGAAATTTTCTGAAACCTAAAGCTTGAAACTTTTCCATGAAAAATCGATTTTTTATAGTGGAGTTTTAGAATTATATCTCAATTGAGGATGAAATGGCCCATTTTTTAGGACGTTTACACCCTGATCAGTTGGGTATTTTTTCAATATCTCATTTTTATCGGCAAATTATTATTCTTCATACGTAATATTGCATTAAAAGGGTGACTCAATTGTTGAATGAAATTAGAAGTGCTCCGAGAAATAGAATACAATCTACTCGTGAAGAAGTAAAACAAGAAATACTCGAAATTTATCTTCATGTTATCTGTGAGTTCATAAGACTTTGTCGGGGAACCTTTTTTAAAAAAAAAATTCTCTGGGCTACAACAAAAGATTTTTACAAATTTGTCTGTCAAGCCAACAGATATTTGTAGAATATACTGTATGAAATGTTTTAAATCCTAACACCTAAAATTTGCCCTAAAAATTTTTTTGGCATTTTCCTGGAACTTATCCATTTTGCGAGATATTTGCAAGGTACAAATGAACCTTCGAGGATCATTCAAAAGAGAACTATTTGTTTCTGGATTCATAAGAATCTGCGGGTATTTGGAAAGAATTCTAGCTTTTTCTGCTGCTAGAATTCACTTCATGTTAATACTTTTAAGCCATTAACTCGAATTGGTTTTTCAGGAATGAATAATCAACTTCCAAGTAAACTAGAAAATGTGAAAACTGATTGCAATGCTTCCGCTCGGCACCAGAATGCAGCACCAAATGTATGCACTTTGGGAGTGAATGTTTCCACTATCTTATTATTTGTCGGGCCTCAAACCTTTTTGGCCCTCTATTTTTATTTATTATTTTTTTAAAAGAATGCTAAGAGTGTATGAGAGAACATTAATTTATATTAGTAGCGAGTTGTCTGATCGAGTTGGAAACATTATACAAATGATAGTCAGACTTGGGGCCCAGGATTTTGAATAAAAAACTCAATTAAATTGATTCTCAAGCAAATCAACGTTACAACCGACACGCGGGTCCCCTTCAGGGCTAATCAACACTATAATGAACATGAAATCTCTTCTGCTTCCATTAGCATTTATATTAGTCGTTCTTACAGTAATGAAGTAGCCTTTGAGAAGTATCTGCACGTTGATTCAAACATTCGCATGTTTATGAATCACCCTTATTGAGTTTTTTTTATTAACCCTGGTCCTCAAAGCCGACTATCATCTATACAATTCTTCACATTATTTTATCAATGCTGGTGTGAATATGTTCTCTTCAATCAGTAGAAACGTTAGTCCATTTATCAGCAACAGAAAACAAAAAATTTCATTCGAACGTGAAATTAAAATTGATAATGGTCGTTCCTACGGTAATCAAGTTGCCATGAAAAAGACCCGCATATTGATTCAAACATTGCCATGTTTCTGAATTACTCTTATTGAGTTTTTTATTAATCCTGGTTAATCAAGGGTTATTATAATTAAAATTATAATTATAATTAACAAAGGGTTTTAACCCTTTTATTAATCCTTAAAACCGACTCTCAACTGTATAATTATTCCATTTACTTTATCAAAGCTGTTGAGAATATTTTTTCTTCAATCAGTAGAAATGTTAATCCATCTGTCAGCAACAGAAAACAACAAATTTTATTCGAACACTAAAAAATTGAATTTTTTGAAAATGGATGAACATCCTCAAAGCGTTGTGGTCGAAAAAGGCAAATGATGACGTTCATTTGGAATTCATATAGCATGTTTATAAGCACAGTTGGATTATTTATGAATTTTTCCATATTTTCGTTTTAAGTGATTAGCAATGGAAGTCCGTTCTTATTCATGGGTTTTTATGGTGATTCTTCAGTTTGACATTAAAACTGTAATGACACTTGCAACAATTTCTCCGAGAGCCTTTTGCCGATAAATTGCTAGCAGTATGCCGCGAATGCTAGCAGTGATTGCTGACAAATTACCAAAGAGTTACTGACTCAATTGGACCGCAAAATTCTGGTAATTTCAAGGGTTGCCTAAAAATTGATTGCAATAGACCTTTTCATCCTGAGAGTCACTGGATTTTCGGACACTTTTTCCCATCTTAATTTCCCTAGGAGTTGCAGACAATTGCCGAATTTTGTTTATCAGAATTTTTCATCATTTTTATTAAGATTTTTCAGCTCAATGAACGGAATAAATATTTCCCCACCATTTCTAACATTTTAAGCGTCTGTGAGGCAAACTAACAATAAACAATTGTTTTTTTTGCACTAATTATTTGTTTTTAAACGTATATAATCGATCTTTAATGCATGAGGAAACTCACTCCAATAGTCTGCGGTTTTTAAAACTCATAGTAGTCTACCCTTAAACAGATGAGACCCCTTATGATTCATCGTGGCCTTCGCCCTCACTCATTATCCCGCACTATTTCAAGGTTTTCGGCCAATCGGCCAAGATGACGGCCGACAAGGTGACCCTGGGCGATGCTTTATCGAACGTAGACGTCCTCGACGAGTTCACCCTCCCCGACGAGCAGCCCTGCATCGAGGCCCAGCCATGCTCCGTAGTCTACCAAGCCAACTTCGACACAAACTTCGAAGACAGAAATGGCTTCGTTACTGGCATAGCCAAATACATAGAAGAAGCAACTGTCCACGCCAGCCTAAACGAACTTTTGGAGGAAGGTCTCGAGCACGCGGTAATGCTCTACACTTGGAGATGCTGCTCCCGTGCGATTCCTCAGCCCAAGTCCAACGAGCAACCAAACCGCGTCGAAATCTACGAAAAAACAGTCGAAGTCCTTGCCCCAGAAGTCAACAAACTCTTGAACTTCATGTACTTCCAGCGAAAAGCCATTGAACGATTCTCAGCCGAGGTGAAACGCCTCTGTCACCAGGAGAAGCGTAAGGACTTCGTATCGGAAGCCTACCTCCTCACCCTGGGTAAATTCATCAACATGTTCGCAGTCCTCGACGAACTCAAGAACATGAAGTCAAGCGTGAAGAACGACTACTCGACCTATCGCCGAGCAGCTCAATTTCTCAAGGTAATGTCAGACTCTCAAACACTTCAAGAGTCCCAGAACCTCTCAATGTTCCTCGCGACCCAGAACAAAATTCGCGACACAGTTAAAGAAAACCTGGAGAAAATCCCCGGCTACGAGGAGTTACTGGCAGACGTGGTAAACATCTGCGTCCACATGTTCGAGACGAAGATGTACCTGACGCCGAACGAAAAACACATGTTGGTGAAAGTAATGGGCTTTGGATTATTCTTGATGGACAGTGAGCTCTGCAACATAAACAAACTCGATCAGAAGAAAAAGATCAAGATCGACAAGATCGACCGAATCTTCAAGAATCTCGAGGTTGTTCCGTTATTCGGGGACATGCAAATAGCCCCGTTCAACTACATAAAGCGCTCGAAACACTTTGACTCCTCCAGATGGCCTTTGTCAGCCTCTTCCAACAGCATGAGTCCCCAGGCAGACCTGATGGTGCACCTCCCCCAAATCCGAGAGGACCACGTCAAATACATCTCCGAACTGGCGAAATACTCAAATGAAGTCACAACGACTTACAAAGAGTGCGGGAGTGATTTGGAGAATCGAGACACTGCAGAGCTAGCCTTGCGAGGTCTTCAATTATTATCACAATGGACGAGTGTCGTCACCGAATTATACAGCTGGAAGCTCCTGCACCCCACAGACCACCACATGAACAAGGAGTGCCCCCAGGAAGCCGAGGAGTACGAACGTGCAACCAGATACAACTACACGGACGAAGAAAAATTTGCACTGATCGAAGTGATAGCTATGATCAAGGGTCTGCAGGTCTTGATGGCTCGAATGGAGACGGTGTTCATCGACGCAATCAGACGAAACATCTACGCTGAACTACAGGACTTTGTCCAGCTGATGCTGCGAGAACCCCTACGAAAAGCCATCAAGAATAAGAAGGATCTTATCAGGAGCATCATCGTTTCCGTAAGAGAGACCTGTGCCGATTGGCATTTTGGGGTTGAACCGTTGAGCGATCCTGCACTGAAAGGAAAAAAAGATCCCGACAATGGATTTGGGATCAAAGTCCCTAGGAGGAACGTAGGACCATCGTCGACTCAACTCTACATGGTTCGAACGATGTTAGAGTCTTTGATTGCTGATAAAAGTGGGGGCAAAAGAACGTTGAGAAAAGATATCGATGGAACGTATCTGATGCAGATTGACACATTCCATAAGACCAGTTTCTACTGGAGTTATCTATTGAACTTCAGTGAATCCCTCCAAAACTGTTGCGATTTGTCGCAGCTTTGGTACAGGGAATTCTATCTCGAGATGACGATGGGAAGGAAAATCCACAAATGTCAGGTACGTCATCAACACAATGAGGAGTGCAGTGATCTGATAACAATGGAGAAGAGGATCCAATTCCCCATTGAGATGTCGATGCCCTGGATTCTGACTGATCACATTTTGAGAAGCAAAGAGCCTTCGATGATGGAGTACGTCCTGTATCCGTTGGATTTATACAATGACAGTGCATTGTACGCCCTAACAATCTTCAGGAAGCAGTTTCTGTACGACGAAGTTGAGGCAGAAGTCAATCTGTGCTTCGATCAGTTTGTATATAAACTCAGCGAGCAGATATTCGCCCATTACAAGCAGTTGGCATCGAGTATTCTTCTGGATAAAAGGTTCAGAGTTGAGTGTGTAGCACTGGGAGCTTACTTGCTACCTTATCCGAGAGCAAATCGTTACGAGACTCTTCTGAAACAACGACACGTGCAGCTACTCGGGAGAAGCATAGACTTGAACAAATTGATCACCCAAAGGATCAATGCAGACATGCAGAAGTCTTTGGACCTAGCCATATCCAAATTCGAGTCTGGGGACATAACTGGGGTTGTTGAGCTCGATGGGCTCCTCCAGGTGAACAGATTGACCCACAAATTACTGAGTAAACATCTGGCCCTTGACGAGTACGACGCAATGTTCAGGGAAGCCAATCACAACGTTCTTGCTCCCTATGGAAGAATCACTCTTCATGTATTCTGGGAGCTAAACTACGACTTTCTACCCAACTACTGTTATAACGCTGCCACCAACAGATTCGTCAAGTGTCGAGGGATTCAGTTCGTCCAGCCTGTGCACAGGGACAAGCCCCCGCAGATGTCCCATCATTACTTGTGGGGAAGTAAGCAGCTCAATCTCGCTTACAGCACTCAGTTTGGACAGTACACTGGCTTCGTTGGACCCCACCACTTTAGAATGATGTGTAAACTGTTGGGTTACCAAGGAATTGCAGTTGTTATGGAGGAACTACTGAAGATAGTCAAGAGCTTGATCCAAGGGAGTTTGCTTCAGTTCACGAAGACACTTATGGAAGCTATGCCCAAGGTCTGCAAGCTTCCTAGGTATGACTATGGCTCCCCAGGTGTGCTTGGGTACTACTCTGCTCAGCTGAATGACATTGTCCAGTATCCGGATGCCAAGACTGAGTTGTTCCATAATTTTCGAGAGTTTGGGAATACTATTCTGTTTTGCTTGCTGATGGAGCAGGCGCTATCGCAGGAGGAGGTCTGCGATCTTCTTCATGCTGCCCCTTTTCAGAATATTCTGCCGAGACCGCACTGCAAGGACGGGGAGAAGCCGGAGACGAAGCAGAAGAGGTTGGAGGCGAAGTATGCAGCTCTGCAGATTGTGCCAAATGTTGATAAGCTGGGGACTGCCAAGCAAGCCATGATCGCCAGAGAGGGGGATCTGTTGACGAGGGAGAGACTTTGCTGTGGGCTCAGTATCTTCGAAGTGGTGTTGAGTAGACTGAAGAGCTTTCTGGACGATCCCATTTGGGTGGGACCACCTCCCGCCAACGGGGTGATGAACATCGATGAGTGCACGGAGTTTCATAGGCTTTGGAGTGCTCTACAGTTTGTGTACTGCATTCCTGTTGGGGAGACTGAGTTCACGGTTGAGGAGCTCTTTGGGGAGGGCCTCCACTGGGCTGGATGCGCTATGATTGTACTGCTGGGACAGCAGAGACGCTTTGAGGCCCTCGACTTCTGTTATCATATTCTGAGGGTGCAGAGGGTCGATGGGAAGGATGAGAACGTGAAAGGAATTGTAAGTTTGAGAGATTTTTGTAGGCCCTAGGAACCTGTGGACACGAGTTCCTGGACAAAATCCCCTCCCAAAAATATTTTTTCAAAGAAAATTTCTCGGACATCTCAAGAAACATTTTCGAATATGAAATTCAACAAAAATTATAACTTGAAAAAAACTCGAGACATCTCAATATCACTTTTCTCTTATTCCCCAAAAAACAATAGGTAACGAAAAGAAATTAAAATTAGGGGAGAGTGGGGCAAAACGAAACAGCCGAAAATCGACTATTTGACGCAATTCAAGCAAAAAAATTTTTTTATGAAGGCCCGTGTGGATTACAGTTTGAACGTTATCTCGATTGTTTTTCCATCTTCTTATTTTAAAACATATCACAATTTCTATTGGATTTTACATCACGCAGGAGTCCCTAAAAATTATGATTGTGCAATCAAAAACAGTAAAAAAAAATGAACATTTTCAAAGAGCATTTTTAACAAAGATTAAGAAATAAGGCCAATAGAGAGGAAATAGTGAATGGATAATTTATTATGGTAACTAACAACATGTAATAACATGTTAACAACATTTAATAACATGTTTTTTTGATTATACAATCATAATTTTTGGAGACTCCACGGCTATGTAAAACTGAATAGCAATTGGAGGTCATTGCAGATTATCAAAATAAAAAAAAACAACCAAAATCACATTCGAAAGATGATCCACCCAGGCCTTAAACTGTTTTTTCCCCAGGATATTAAAAAAAACAGAGATTTTGTCCAGAGAACAAGTATCCAACAACTATTCTTATTCAATAATGGAATCTAAAAATGTTAGCGTTGATCATCTAAGTGGCTAAAATCGTGAAACTAATGAAATTAAATTATTTTTTTGCAGCATCTGAAGAGAATGGTAGACAGAATTCGAAGATTCCAAGTATTAAACTCCCAGATATTCGCTGTACTAAACAAATACTTGAAGAGTGGTGACAGCGACTCAACCAGTGTTGAACACGTGCGATGCTTTCCACCCCCGATACATCCATCCCTCGCCCACACCCAGCAGCATTATCACGCTCCCGAGTACCTTCGCCAAATGAATCACCAATAGATCTATTCTAGCTTAATTTTCTAATTATTTATAATTGAATGCACTGATATGATAACTAACACTCGACTACTATTGTGGAGTTGTTCCGGAGAATTAATGATTTTTAGAAACCGAAAGGAAGCAGTAGAGTTATCCTCCAAGATAATTGAAAACTAAGGCTCAAACATTTTGGAATTTTTCATCGAACGGGGGAGAATTCAACAAGAGTAGGAGAGAAATTATACTGAAGTTTTTTTAATAATAATATATGCAATATATCAGTATAATACATTATGTCATTTTGTATGAACAATTATAGTAATTGTAATGAGGAGAGTCGTAATACAAAGAATGTTTGATTTTTAACCGATAAATAAACAAAACTTTTTGTATATACCATACATTAAATGATGTCAAATATTCGATTCCTCCTCTGTTACATTTAGGTGACAATCTGACTTCTTGTCAAATACGATGAAATTATTTCGATGAGTAATCTCCGGAGAAAATGTCAATGTCAACCTTTCTTTAGAAAATTGATAAGCTGCGAAAAAGGACTTATGACACGTTCTCGTAGAATCACCGCTTTCAGGAACGAAAAGAAAATGCGTGAAAATGTCAAATTTTGAACAATCTGATTGCGTTTTATCCCTGGGAAGAATTCATTTCAACTTTTTTATAGTGCACTGAATGGATAGCAATCTCTTGCTTGAGATCAAATAAGGACAGTTGTATTAAGTGATCCTGGAAATATGCCATTCAATAGATAAATATTTATTCCTTTTTAAAGTTTAATATTGAGAATTAAACTTTTTATCTTTGAACTTCTTTTCAGTTTCAAATAAAACGGATTTTCAGTCTCGATGAACATAAAGTTATTTCCACAAAGGGTGATTAAATACCTAAACTAAAAGTAATCTTCATGCGTTGTCAAAATAATACAATTATGAATATAAAATTGGACGTTTAAATGAAAGGGAATTTGGTTGCATTACGTGAAAAAAATAATTCAATGGAAATTGGGAAGGAGTTTGGACGAATTGAGCAGTAACAAATTTCACCCATAAAAATTATATGCCATTCTGGCTTGGAAAGTCCAGAAAACAAAACTTTCGTCAGCAAACTGACATGAAAAGAATGATAATCGTTGTGTATTGAATAGCATATTTGCAGTACAATAATATCCAACTGACTTTATTGTATGTTATGCCAGTAGGTTTCAAACATTATCTACACTACAATAATCCCAAGGTGCATTTCTTTCTCTAAAGTCATTAAATAATCTTCAAGGGGAGATTATTGTGAGATTTGAACATTACGACTGATTGAGGTGAGGTTCTCCGTAGGTTCCCCTAAATCCCACGGCTACAAAAACTGATAATTAGTGTGAAAAACTGATTGATTATTGTTCGTTAGCCATGCTAGTCTAAAATAATATAATTGAAAAAAAGGTTCAGTGTACTTAAGGGGGAGGTTCACCTCGAGAAAAAAACTTTTTCGTTTTTCGAGAAAAAAAATTAAAAACTAGTATTTCCTTATTGAAATTTCATAAGGAGAATGGAAAATTAATGGAATCTGTACAAAAAAAAGACTAGGTATATGTATGAGAACCACTAAACATAGAGTTAACATTAATAAATGAAGTTTGTACATAATATTCGGGCAAGAATTTTTTTTTCTTTGAGATATTAATAGAACTTTTGATGAACGAATAAATTTTAAAATGCATCTTCTCCCGCGTTTTTATAATTAATCATCAAAAATTTGTGATCGTATTCAAAAAACTGTAAAAAAAATACGTGAGGGATTTTTGTTACGTTGACTTTTCGATTAAAAAAAATTTGAATCCTTAACTTTGAGTGGCCGGACACAATTTGGACCGACAACATCAGATTCCTGGGGAAAAATCACGCAAAAAAAGTATTTTTAATAATTTTTTCTTGAAAACCCCCCTTATTTTTTAGAATGGTCAACTTTTTCTTTTCGCCAAAAATGTCAAAAAAGTAGGCAAAAAAATTACCACTATTGTTGGTTTTTTTATATTTGACTCCTAAATAGTAGAATTTCTTGTTCTATTAAAAAATAAAAACTAAACGTGGGGAACAATTCAAAATTGAAGTATCGAGGCATTTACACTAATTAATCTTTCTAATATTGAATAAAGGGCTGATAATCGTATTTCTACACATTTTTTAAAAATTCAAGGTAAAGAGAAAAGTTTTCTCTCAAAAATGTAGTGCACTTGGCCACTTTCTCGATTACGTTATTTTTGACTTCTACCCAACTACCCTACAATAAACAATGGATTTTTTAATCCCACTATCAATTTTTGCATACATGAAATACCGGAGAAACATAGAGATCCTCGATTCAATAACTCGTGATAGATAAAACTCTTCCTAGTCTCCGTTAACCAATAAATGAATGAATCAACTGATAACTGAATAAATGACTTAATTAGTTAATATTCATCTCTTCATTTCAAAGTAGGAGATGAAAAAGTATCGCTTGTCAAACGTACTCTGGGCGTTCGTGTGAGCAAGGCCCTCTCCTCCTTAGCTGGTAGCTCAAGCCCACATAATTTTCCAACCATACTCTTCTTCACCCTTCCAGCATCTCTCCTCTTCTTCCTCACCTTCCTCTCAGTCTTAGTCTTCACTTTGCACATGTGGACGGCTTGAATGTGCTTTCTAACATTCGCCTTGTTTGCAAATCCAAGTTTACAAATGTCACAGTGAACTTTAATATTCAAGTGAGTTGCACGTATGTGAGCATCGAGATTATTCTCATAATTGTATGTTTTGTGACACATCTCATAGGGACAGGGGATTAAGGAGCTCGAGTGTACACGCAAGTGACATTTAACATGGGATCTGGATAGAAAAGTTTTTTCACATTCTGGGCATTTGTATTCTGCAATGGAGAAAAAAAAAGATTAATCATGCTCATTGAATGGATTGAAACAGTAGAGAAGTGGTGAAAGGATTCAAGTCGACATCTTATCTGCATCTGTAATTATGGAGTTATCTCTGTAATAAGGGATTTCAGAGGAAATCAGCAGAGGACACATCACCCTTGAGTAATTAGTTTTCAAGATGAATGCCTAATTCTGATCCTCTGGGGGTAAGAGCGTAAATTATCTCGCTAACGAGTGCTTTTAGGACGAAATATCACAAGACCGTTTTTGAAGCTACGGAAATTGTCTACAAAATGGTCCCGTGATGATTTCCTTCGACATCACTCCTTCTCGAGATAAATGCATAACTACCAATGATTTCACATTAGACGTAAACCGTGTAACCACTTCACTACTCAAGAAATTAAGAGTTTACCATTTACATGATCATTCTGCTTGTGCCTTCTCAACTCAATGAACTTGGTGAATACTTTCTTGCAATCAGTTCGATCGCAGGGATAAGATTTCATGTGAGTTCGATAGTGTTTAGCCAGCAGAAAAGATGTTTTAAACTTCCTAGGGCACTTATCACAGGTTATCGAATCGTCGCTGTGAATGAGAGCCATGTGCTCAGCGAAATTAGTTTTCTTTCGAAATGTCTGATCGCATTCTTCACAGTACAGTCTGTTACTCGTGTGGACTCTCTTGTGATGTCTGATTAGGTTTTGACGATTGCTGAGAGTCAGTGAACAGATGTCACAGCTAGAAATGCGTCATAAATTGTGATTAATTAATTTCATGATATTATTTTAGAACAGAATTTCGCCCTCTTATTTAATTATTCATTAATCAGTACATTGCTGAAGACTGCCTAGTCCAATACACAGTTATCAACTCATTATTTGAAAATAAATAATAATTCATAAATGAGGTCTCCCAAAACTACTCCCCATCTGAGCCACTTTGCAATCATATACATAGACATTTACATGTACATAAAAATAAAAACTCATCAAGAACGAGAATTCTTCGAACGTTTTTCCAACAAACTTAATTTTTTTAAAGATATTTACAGTATGCCAGTCATTGAAATTTTTCATTCGAAATAAATTGAATATAGGTTTAATTCCAAAGCCAAATTTTCATAATATCCTTTTTTCACCAAGCCAATGTGAGAGATATTAAAGGCTGGTAAAAATTTATAACACAGAAGAACTTTCGTAACATCAAAGAAATAAATTGAATTGAATTCAATTTTTATCATCAATTTTGCGTAGATTATTTCATAGGTTACAAGAAATTCCTGGATATTTTTCTCTAGATATATTAGCTTATGGAATTAGCAACAATATTCCGCACAAAACTTTTCACCTCCTCTCGTGCCATTATTTAGTTACACGATTACTTACATAAGTGTAGTAGGAACAGACGTATGACTCAACACATGTCTCTTCAAATGGGAGTTCGTCGCATAAGCCTTGTCGCAATTCTCAACAGTGCATTTGAAAGGTCTCTGGAATTTAAAAAAGTATAAGTGAAACAATAACTGCAGTGTATGATATCAATTTAATTAGGGAAAAGGGGTAAAATAAATACTTCAGTTTTTTTTTCAATGTTCATAGCTCAGAAAAAAATTTATCAATCGATCTCAGTCTAGACTCATCATAAAAGGGAAGAGGCGTACTTTTCACAAAAAAAATGTTTTCTCATTTCATCAAAAATTCCATAAGTCATCAACCTTTTACAAAAACGTTAAGTGTCGATTTTGCCTCACTGGCTATTAATTGGACTCATCTAAATGATTTGGGCCAATTGTACCGCACTATAGATTCAACCATTTTCAATAATCAAATTTATCAATTAAATTGCGTGTGAAAAATTTGAAAAAAAATCATGAATGTTCAGCGTCATTCAAATTACATTTTGTACAGATTTATTATTTTTGAAAACCTTTGTTGTTTACAAATAAATAATTGGGATTGTTTAAACTTTCGGCAACCTTATTTGTTTAGAAATAAAATCGTTTTCGGATAAAATTCTGAATATGAATAAATTTGTTCCGATTCCGAACAAATGATTTTTGTCGTGGAACATTGATTGTTTATAAATTGTTTATGGAACATTCTCGTGATTTCAAAAAATTACAATTTTTAAATTACTTTATCAATCTTCAAACCTGCAAAGTTTAAATAACGTTTAAACAAATCATTGTAAAATGTCCGGAAACTTAGTGTCAAATGGGGCTAAAATGAAAGCTTTGATGTTCGACTGCAAAAGTGGGAAAGCATTTCCTGGAAAAAAATAGCTAAAGTACTTAAATATCCTTAATTGATCCATTGAATTACCTCGCCATTGTGCTGTCTAATGTGTCCCTCGAGCCTGTCGCGCTTTTTAAAAGTAGCTCCACATCCCTCATAAGTACATTTATGGATACGTTTTGGTCTTTTCGGAGGGTTCACCACCTCGGAGGTCAAATTTTCTGTAAAGCTGGAATGAAGACGGTGCATTGTCATTCAATTCGATTTGAAAGGATTAATCTTGAGATGATTTACCTGAATGGACGAGAGAAATTTTCATGAGTCGCTTGATGTTTCCTTAATCTAAAGGGTGTTGTGTAAGCCTTGTCGCACTTCGGAAAATTGCACTTGCAAGGTTTCTATAAAAACAAATAGATGGAATAAATTTGACGATAACACCTATGTAACAGGGCAGGGCGGGGCAACATGGAACGGTGTTTTTTGTATAATTTTTTTACTTTTTTCTATTGCGCTGCAGTTAGTTGTGGCTTGTGGCTAATCTTTTGGTAATGATGAAAATCCATGACCTTGTCTCGCACATTAATTTTAAATAATAGGCTGCCATTAATGAATTTAAGCCTTTTTCAGATATGACGCATCATATTATGGTGTCTCGAAATGGCACCTTCCGTCTAATGTTATGATAATTTGGAAAATTTAAATTATTAATGTAATCAAAATTAAATTATTCAGGTATTCAAAATTAAATTAAAAAGCGAATGATAAGACAGAGACATTCAGCACTTAGCATTGTCCAGGGGGGGGGTCGCAGCTGGTATGAACTTCATGAAGCCCTAATATTATTATTTTTTTTATTAATTTTTTTTTCTAATTAGTTATTATTTATTTACTTTTATTATTTACTAAAAATTATTTTAGTCTTAAATTTATTAGACTATATTATTGAAAAATTATTATTATTTTCTTTTATTATTATTTAAAAATTATTATTATTATAATTATTAATTATTTTGGCTTATTATAATTGTTGGCTTATTATTATTAGTTATTTGGTGGTTTCATTTATTAATTTTTTATATTATTTTTATACTGTTGTAAAAATTTGTCCGTTTTACGTTAGTGTTCCACTTTGTCCGACCCTTCCCTATGTGGGTTTTAATTGACTAAGAGACATCTGTAGAGAAAAGTATAACATTGATTCAACGTTTATTTATATTTTAAGACATTAAATTGCGTATGAATTGTTTGAGAATTTTTTTTTGATTTCATCTTCAAATTTCTGACAATCAATATCGTTTCTTAATTTCTACCTGAATTTTCGAATGAAAAATGCTTAATATTGTTGCGTATTTATTCTTTTCCTCCGTCTCAACCACCTTCATGTACGGTCGTCTCTTTCTATATCGTTCTTCTTTTATCTTTGTTCCTAGTCCGCGGACGTGTTACTCCTTTCTATATTTCTATTGATTATTTATTCCGCCTTAAAGTCGTTTAATAAACACTCATTCTTAATTCAATGGCTTGTATTTAACATTGGTGTCAGAAGTGAGATTCGAACTCACACGAAGCTGAAACTAGCCAACGATTTGCCAGCAAACGATTCAATTTACGCGAAATCCAGGGATGCACAAATATTTTCAAAGTCATGTATGAACTCTGTCGCATTTAAAAAACATTTGTGTATAAGACTTTGACTCTCACACCCTTCAGAATCTCCTAAATTGAATCTTACCCTCGAATCTTCAGCATCATACTCAAAATTCAAATCAAACCGTGGAATTTTCAGGTTTCGAATGGAAATTTCGAAAAAATGGAGTTATATTTTTCGTAGAAGACTATTCATATGAAATTAAGACATGAGATTTTAGTGATATCCTGATGTAATAATGTGACAATAGGGAATTTGCATAATTTTTTTTTTATTTCAAGTTTCGGTTTGAAATGATTAATTTTTCATTTATAGACAATATGAATATTCCTCGTTAATTTATAATTGATTGTAGAAAGACAACTCTGTACTGAAGCCCTTGATTTTTGTCTACTCAGTTTGGCTTAAACATTCAATGCAAATTTGAAATTTCATGAGTCCTTCGACTTTTGAGGATCTTTCATTGAAGATTGCTGATGCAAATCTGCAGTGCAACAAACATGTCAGCTACTAAATACATAGTGTCGATAACCAATCAATCCAGGATTCAATTACTTCTGTGGCGTGTCTAACACGCGCAATTATGCAGAATCTTTTGCATTTTTTCAAGAAATTTTTCATTTACAACTCAAGCATTTTTTCTCCAGTAAACTCATGGAATTCTCAATAATTTCAGTCCCGTCGTTCCGAGAATAATATAAACATAAAATTAATTCCAATATTTTTCCAAACATTTCCCACTCGAATATTTCAATGCATTCATTGTCAAAACTTAAATCGGTTTATTGAAATAATCGCCGGGGAATCCTCAATTCTCTTCAACATTAATAAAGGGCATTTTCCAATTTCGCAATCACTTCAAGACTATCCTAATTCCTTCATTGAAAACTAAACTTTATATTTTAAACTGTTTATAGCTCGTCACCCGAATAACCCACGTTGTCCATTGCAATCATCACCTTTCTTCCTTTTATTGCACTCGACCCTCGATTATCCCTCAAATATTTTCGTTCCAGACAGTCGTCATTGGGGAAACGGCCCATCACGCGCCAATGTCTCCCTCTCAACGTCATTTACGACCTTTCGAAGTTTCCACCGCATTTCATCAATCAGGATATAGTCCCTTTCATCCTGAATATTTTCCTCCAATCATTGGCAAATTTGAACGTCTACTTTTCATCGATCACTTTTAATTCCTTCCACTGATCTCTATATAGAGATCAGTGATCAGGGACGGGCAATAATATGAGATTTTGACAATATTAAAAAGGAATTATCTCCTTATATTGTTCAAAGTTTAACTATATTTAACAATTTTAAAGTATCATAGAATTTATTAGCTAAATTTTTCGATTGATGGTGAATAAAATATTTGATAATACTGAAATGTAATTTTTCAGTCAACAAGCTAATTCTAAATTTAGGTAGGGTAGGGTAGGGTAAAATGAACACTTTTGACTTTTTTAAAAATATTCATAACTCAGAAACAGATTTATTAATTGAACTCAGTCGAAGCTCATCACAAAGAGGAATCATTGTTTTTCAAATGAACAATAAAATTATTCCATTTCATGAACAATTCAACACGTCATAAATATTTCAAAAAAAATCAAGTGTCCGTTTTACCCTACCCTCCCCTACTTGATTTTCGATTATCTAAATAATCGTCAATCTTCCTACCTAAATTATTAGTTGATGTAGAATATTTCGCAATTTAAATGTACAAATTGATGGTTACTTTAATATTTAAAATTTTAAGATTTCTGTTAAAAATTGACATCTTCACAATTTAATGGTAATTATGATTGATTGATATGCCTATCACTGTCAGTGATCTCTTCCCACTATTATATTTCAAACTTATCACCAAAAATTATTTTGTATTCAGTATTAACCGAATCTTAGAGAAGAAACACTTCAACGGAGGTCTCTACATCCAAACTATTGTGAAATATATATCAAGTTAAGGATAATTGCACGAGTAGGGTATTCAAAAAATGCGGCCAATTTTATGAAATTTTTCTCACACATTATTGAATCCCTTCAGACAACGTTTGCAAAATTTGAGAAACCCCAACAGCAGGGCAACAACAAAAATGATTTTTCAAGTTGCTGCTTATACATGAGTTCAAATAGGTCATCGATAATTTCAGTATTTTTGTTAAGGATTAAGGATTATCAAGAATTATCCTTAAATGTTTAAGCGTGAGTGATTATTCCAAGTTTACACTATCTCCCAGTATCCTCACAACCTGACGTTTTCCTCATCCAATTCCTTTCTCATCCCCTTAATAATCAACTACAGAATAATTAATTTGGCGTGTAGTAAATTGCAAATATCGTTCTGTAGAGGTCAGATCTCAGGAATTTACAAGTCCAAAGAATTCAGTGTAGAATATGGTATTTTCGCAATTTAATCCGACCCCCCACGTGGTTTCGAATGTACCTCTCAAAATACGAAGGTTTATCATAACTCATTTGTACAATCTTTTTTCCATGAAAACCAGCAGAATGTTATTGTAATATTACATAACTGGGAAAAGCCCTTGATTTTTTCTACTGAATTTGGCGTAAATATTCAATGAAAATCTAAAATTTAATGAGTCCTTCGACATTTGAGAACCCTTCATTTTCATTAGAGATTGCAGTTGCAAATCTACAGTGCAACAATCATGTCAGCTACTAAATACATAGTGTCAATAACCAATAAATCCAGGATTCAATTACCTCCCCCAAGTGATTTCGAAGATGCCTCTCAAGATGCGAAGGTTTATTATAACTTGCATTACATCCGTCATAACTACATTTATGCAATCTCCCTGATTTTTTCTTAGGAATTTCCAATTCAGCGTCTGGTTCGGATAACCTCTCATCCTCAGCCGTCGAAACCTCCTCCTCTGGCTCTTCTTGCTGGAAGTGCCCCATCGCCCATCAACTCTTCAGTTCCCTGTCCTCGTCAAGGATCAATTAAGCCATCATTAATGCACTTGAGGAATTGCTGACATTGAAAATGGGAAGAGAAACATTATTTTGACAAATGAACACATTAGTCATCACACACGCACACTATTGTTTTCACAATAAAACGGCGCATACAGGGTTGCCAGATATTTCAGAGGTCTCGTCGCCAGTGATTCCCCTCCATATCATCCACCCGGTGCTAGTATCGCCTGAAAATCGCCTATTTTTTATGTAATTATTTTTTCACCAGGCTATGGATGAATACGTGCACGGTTGAGGTAATAAACTTCGATTTTCAGGTATCATATGCTGATTAGGCCAAACTGGAAACATCGAATTTGGTATATTGCAATAGAATTAGGGAGTTTTTCCACAATTTTTTATAATAATTCTCAATTTTTTCCTGCTAATAGGAGGTATTCCATCCCAAAATGAGCGAACGGCTGACCCTCACCCTTTTGGAAATCGATCTCGATTTTTTCTACGATTGGGGAGCTAGAGAAACCATCTCTCAATTTTTTTCAAATTTTTTAGATTTTTTTCGACAACTCGGGGTTATTGAAAAACATAAGTATAGGGGAGGTTGGGGTAAAACGGATACTTTTTACTTTTTTTTAAATGTTAATGATTAATAATTTTTTTCAGTACAAAGAACAATTCTTTCTTTTTGTGACGAGCCTAAACTGAACTCAATTGATCAATTTGTTTCTGAATTATGAATAATTTTATAAAAGTCTAAAGTGTCCGTTTTACCCCACCCTCCCCTATAGATTTAAATTCACTTCATACTGTTTATAATCAAAATCAATCAACGCCATTTTGGGGTGTGTCAGGTGTCAAAACATTGACGGAAATAAATATTGGAATTTATTTAATAATTAACTCTAATGAATTAATGTATGTAAACAAGAAAATCAGTAATTTCTGACGGTAGATGTTGTGAGTCACACCATATTTCATCATATCAAGACTTTTCAAATATTTTAATATATTTTTTTTGCTGAATTATCATTCCAACCGCCTGCATTATTAATATCAAAATTACTGCTCCTTTCTCAGGCCATTTCTCGCGGTTCTCTTGAGCGTAATGAGGCTGACTATTGGCCATTTTTTGGCGAATATCTCCGAATCTAAAAGAGATAGAAAAATTTTTGTCATTAACTTTTTTGTAGAGCCAATTGAGGGTTATAAAAAATATCGTGAAGAAAATTTTGCTATCTCTCTTAGATTCCGAGATATTCATCAAAAACTGACCAAAAATCAAAATCGACTTAACCCGGGTTTACCGCTTCGCTACTGAATTGTTTTAGAAGTTAATCCAGGTTTCAAGAAACATGTAAAAATTATAAACAAAAAAAGTAGTTTTGAAGAAACACATTCAGATAAGTTTGAAAAAAAACAGTTCAAGAAAAGCGCTATTAAAATTGACATATTAAAATAGTAGATTGTGCACCAAGGGAGGAAAACAGGACATTCTAACCCGCGTATGGATTACTACCCGAGGCGAAGCCGAGTAAACACGCGGATTTTGATGTCCTGTTTCCTTCCTAGGTACACATACTCTTTTTCGTCATAACTGCACGGTATATTTCGATCGATCGATTTTTCTTCGTAAATGCAGGAAAGAAACGTGGGTTATGTCATTCCGAGGATCGTCAAAAACAACAGAAATCCGAGGAATGGAATAAGCCACTTTCCTCCCGTAATTTGGGGAGGAAAATCGAACTTTCCGTGCAGATGTGACGAAAATATTTTCTTCCTCGAGCCCTAAACATTATGAACCCGCCAAATTATCACCAAACCCCCAGCGCCCATGTTTAGCCGCCAAAGGAACTTCGAAAATCGCCTTTTTGGCGGCAAATCGCCCAATCTGGCAACTCTGGGCGCAACGCGAGTCTGCGCAGTAGCTAGTGACAGATTGGTGAGGTTAAATTTCCCGCAGTCCCGTGCGATATTCAAGAGCGCGAGTGTCAATGAATCCAAGGTCAGTGCTCCCATTACTCGAGAATTGATTCTTAACGGGTGAATAATTTTTCGTTGATAATTACTGAGGGTTATTTCAGAAGTTGGGGGTTGCAGAAAAGAAAATACATCTATTGATGATATTTAGGAACTTCTCTAAATTGTTGGGGAGAAGTTGGAGCATTGAAGAAGTGAGTGGTCGAATAACGTGGTATGATGTGACGTAGACGTATTTTTTTTCAAATTATTTATGTAATAACAATGTGATATTTTGTCAGGATATGGCAGCGATCAACTTGAAGAGTCTTGGAAGGGAGAAAATCGAGGAAATCGTGAATTCATTCGACACGATTTTGGCTGATTGCGATGGTAATTTTTATTGAATCACTGATTCATTCATTTTTTCGATTCTTAGTCGAGTACGAGTATAAGTCGGGGTGTCTTGTTTATGATGGAGTTATCATCGGAATGAGTGGCCTAGGGGATAATGGGTAAAGATATGGTTTTTAAGAGATTTAGTTAGCCACAAAAATTGTCTTTTGACATTTTTCTCTAAAACCATTTATTTTAAGGATATCCAAGTATCTTTTACAGTTTGGTACAGACTACACTATAGATTCAATCATTTTCAATTATGAAATTTGTTAATTAAATTGCGTGAGAAAAATTTGAAAAAAATTATGAATATTCGGCGTCATTCAAATTACATTTTGCACAGAGTTATCATTTTTTAACATTCGTTGTTTATAAATAAGTAATTGAAATTGTTTAAACTTTCGGAAACTTTATTATTTTTGGGATGAAATCGATGTCTGAACAAATTCTGAATATGAATAAATTTGTTATGATTCTGATCAAATGATTTTTATGGTAGAAANTCAAAATCGACTTAACCCGGGTTTACCGCTTCGCTACTGAATTGTTTTAGAAGTTAATCCAGGTTTCAAGAAACATGTAAAAATTATAAACAAAAAAAGTAGTTTTGAAGAAACACATTCAGATAAGTTTGAAAAAAAACAGTTCAAGAAAAGCGCTATTAAAATTGACATATTAAAATAGTAGATTGTGCACCAAGGGAGGAAAACAGGACATTCTAACCCGCGTATGGATTACTACCCGAGGCGAAGCCGAGTAAACACGCGGATTTTGATGTCCTGTTTCCTTCCTAGGTACACATACTCTTTTTCGTCATAACTGCACGGTATATTTCGATCGATCGATTTTTCTTCGTAAATGCAGGAAAGAAACGTGGGTTATGTCATTCCGAGGATCGTCAAAAACAACAGAAATCCGAGGAATGGAATAAGCCACTTTCCTCCCGTAATTTGGGGAGGAAAATCGAACTTTCCGTGCAGATGTGACGAAAATATTTTCTTCCTCGAGCCCTAAACATTATGAACCCGCCAAATTATCACCAAACCCCCAGCGCCCATGTTTAGCCGCCAAAGGAACTTCGAAAATCGCCTTTTTGGCGGCAAATCGCCCAATCTGGCAACTCTGGGCGCAACGCGAGTCTGCGCAGTAGCTAGTGACAGATTGGTGAGGTTAAATTTCCCGCAGTCCCGTGCGATATTCAAGAGCGCGAGTGTCAATGAATCCAAGGTCAGTGCTCCCATTACTCGAGAATTGATTCTTAACGGGTGAATAATTTTTCGTTGATAATTACTGAGGGTTATTTCAGAAGTTGGGGGTTGCAGAAAAGAAAATACATCTATTGATGATATTTAGGAACTTCTCTAAATTGTTGGGGAGAAGTTGGAGCATTGAAGAAGTGAGTGGTCGAATAACGTGGTATGATGTGACGTAGACGTATTTTTTTTCAAATTATTTATGTAATAACAATGTGATATTTTGTCAGGATATGGCAGCGATCAACTTGAAGAGTCTTGGAAGGGAGAAAATCGAGGAAATCGTGAATTCATTCGACACGATTTTGGCTGATTGCGATGGTAATTTTTATTGAATCACTGATTCATTCATTTTTTCGATTCTTAGTCGAGTACGAGTATAAGTCGGGGTGTCTTGTTTATGATGGAGTTATCATCGGAATGAGTGGCCTAGGGGATAATGGGTAAAGATATGGTTTTTAAGAGATTTAGTTAGCCACAAAAATTGTCTTTTGACATTTTTCTCTAAAACCATTTATTTTAAGGATATCCAAGTATCTTTTACAGTTTGGTACAGACTACACTATAGATTCAATCATTTTCAATTATGAAATTTGTTAATTAAATTGCGTGAGAAAAATTTGAAAAAAATTATGAATATTCGGCGTCATTCAAATTACATTTTGCACAGAGTTATCATTTTTTAACATTCGTTGTTTATAAATAAGTAATTGAAATTGTTTAAACTTTCGGAAACTTTATTATTTTTGGGATGAAATCGATGTCTGAACAAATTCTGAATATGAATAAATTTGTTATGATTCTGATCAAATGATTTTTATGGTAGAAAATTGATTATTTATAGATTGTTTTTAGAAAATTTTCTTTACACACCATACTACAGATTCAACCACTTTCAATCATCAAATTTGATAATTAGATTGCGTGAGAAAAATTTGAAAAAAATGATAAATATTCAGTGTCATTAACCAGCCTCCCGTAGTGATCTCTTATGAAATTTTCTTCATGCATGTGTTTGCACACGCAAACGATGATAGGCCGTATGGGAAGACAATGTGAATTTTTGCGGATTTTTGGGGCAGCATAAAGTTTCGAAAGTTCTTATGGCATTATCCTCGGGGAAAACGCTATGAAGTTAACATTTACGATATTTTCGCGGAAATATTTTCATTTTCATCATTACGTCCTGGAACATGTTCTCAAAAAAATAAAGAACATGTTGAGTATTTTCCCGAATTCCTCAGTTCATTCGTTCCGTAATTAAAAAGCGTGATTTTGGATGAAAATTACGATTTTCAACCGCGTTTAAATGCTTTTGCAAATGGACTAATTCTTCTCGAATTTTGTCAAAAGATAATGTAATTATATTCCTGTAATCTCATAAAACGATGATTCTGTTTTTCTAAACCAGAGAAAAATGCAAAAGAAAATCGTCTGTTTTTGGGCAGCGACGCGTGTTTGGCTACTGCCCAGTCCTATAATGGGGACCATATACCTGAAGTGGAGACGGTCATTCAGCTGGCTACTCTTCCTGGAAGGGGACTACGCCTTTTTTTACCCCTAATATATCATAGCACACCCCCATTTTTTAATCCATAAAAATTACATTTTTTTTATAATTGTTAAATGCCATTACTGTCGTGGTGTTGTCAATTTTATGACGATCCTGGTGAAACTTAATTGCCGAAAATATATTGATTTGAAGTGATGTTTCAAATAAATTGGTAATGTAATTGTAATTTCGTATATTTGTTTCAAACGATCATTTGGGATCATTCCCCACTTTTTTTGCATCGAAAAGTTCAGAAAATGTTCCAATCTACTGTCATTTTCAATTTTGGTGCTTTGAAGAATTTAGATCTGAAATGGAGAAGAAAACAAAAAAAATCATTGTAGCTCCCCCGATTATTTCGGACGCTAACGGTGTCAATTTTTTTCACCAAAATTTCAAAATTTAATAGAAAAACCTAGCGAATTCGCTAGACAATTCTATTGCATTTCTATTGAACTTTCTATTCGTTTGCCATATTCTATTGAAATGTTCACTAGAAAATATTCTACGGAAAAAGTCAAAAGAATTCCATTTTTCTACAAAACTTATTCTATTGAGATATTTTCTATAGAATTTCCTCGGCTCAAATTTTCAAAATTGTTTTGTTTGATTTTCTTGATGAGAAGAAAAGAAATATAGAATAAAAAAACTTGGAAAATTTGAGCAGAGAAAATTCTGTGGAAAAAATCTGAAAAGAATAAGTTATACAGAAAAATCGAATTTTATCAACTTTTTCTGTGGAACATTTCAGTAGAATCGGCCAAAAACTCATAGAAAGTTCAATAGAAATCCGATGGAATTTGCTAACGAATTCGCTAGGTTTTTCTATTAAATTTTTTCATGCGTGCCGCTTTAAAGCGATCCATTGAAGATGGAATAACAATGCTGCTATCTAAAAATTCAGGGAGAAAATTATTAAAATTCACTACTCATCGTTTTTATAAAAATCAGAACAATTATTATCCGTTTTTCACACGGTCGATAGGGAAGGGTCTCTCCAGGTAATTCGGTCAACCTACCCGGGCACAGCTGTGAATTACTCCTCGAAAAAATTTCCACTACCGCGGAGGGACATTCACTACCTGAAAAAGACCGTCGTAAAGCCATTTCACTATTTTCCTGAAACTTTGAATTGTTGATACTGCCTCCAAAAAACGTCTTAAAAAATTTGAAAAAATTCATTCATTTTTTAACATTCATTGTTTATCAATAAATGATTGAAATTGTTTACATTTTTGGAAATCGTATTTTTTCAAGCATGAAATCGATGTCTGGACAAATTCTGAATATGAATAAATTTGTTATAATTCTGAACAAATGATTTGTATGGTGGAAAATTGATTATTTATAAATTATTTATAGAAAATGTTCGTAAATCTCAATAATCACAATTTTTTCATTATTTCATTAATCTTCTTCCAAAAGTAAAGTTTCCAATTTTTTTCCAGATTTTTAAAATTTTTTCTAACGGTTGAATATCGAGATTCAAATTCAGACCTGCAAAGTTTAAATAATAAAATCATTGTGAAATGTCCGGAAACTTCGGATCAAATGAGGCTGAAAGGAAAGGTGTGATGTTCGACTATAAAAGTAGAAACGCATTTCACTGGAGAAAAAATAGTCAAACTACTTGAATATCCTTAAGCAAGAAATGGGAAAAGTTTAACGATTGATTTGAACATGAGTCATCTCGTTAATTTCTGATCATTTCGATAATTATGGGTTGTCAAGAATGACGCGAAAAGACTTCGTGAAAAATTTTTCCTGTTACGAAAATTGTTTTCATAATTTTATGTTCAAAATTATCCCTTCCTCAGATGAATAGAAAATCAATAAATACTGCTTTTGAGACACACATGAAAAAATTTCGTAGAAAAACCTTCGACATTTGACATTTTCCTCTAAAAGCATTCATTTCAAAGATAAGCGAGCAATGAAAAAAGTTTAACGATTGATTTGAACAAGAGCCATCTCCTTAATTTCAGATTATCTCGGTAATTATGAGTTGTCAGGAATGACCTCAGGACACTTTCTGTGGAAAATTTTTTCTGTTACAGAAATTATTTTCATAATTTTTTGTTCAGAATTATCCATTCCTGAGATGAATAGGAAGTCAATAACTATTCTCCATTTCATTCGTAAATCCTCTCTTCAGTTTTTAATGAAAATTAACCGATCAGTGTTTGAACAAGTCCAGTGTAACATTCAATATTCTCCATTTGATTTGTGAATCCTCTCTTTAGTTTTTAATCAGAATGAATCAATCAGTGTTGGAACACATCGGATGATCGAATTAATTTCGATATTTATCGTAGAACAAATATTTTATGCAGTATAATGGAGCTTTTATCATCTTTTAGGGGGGTCCCTGGTGAAATTTGAAAGTCTTCGGTTGATGAAAATAACTATTGAGAGATTTTTTATATATGATGGGGTATCTAAAAAACTAAGCAAAATTTCGTACCTAACTCATTTTACCTCGTATGTCAGGCGAAAACGTTTTTCGTGGTTTTGGCCTTGAAATGCTCCTTGCACCACAATTTTCATCCGATTCAAACTTTTCCTTTTTCAAAATGTTCGTTAGATTCCATAGAATAAAACTAGGTATTTTTTTTTGATTATCTCAATTAAATCATTGAAAAACTGGATATTTTGTTGATTGCCCAATAGCATTGAGAAATATTTGAAATCAAATCCTGTAGATTCCCCCACCGCAACGATTAGTGAAGTCAATTTAGACTCAAAAATAGCCAAACCGTCCAATAAAATGATACACCATGACAAATATACCAATAGATAGATAAAAAGTCCTGAAAAAATGTTTATAAATAAACAATGTTAAATAAACAATGTTCGCAACTAGTAATATTGAAAACAATTAAAAACTACCAGTGTTTGTTGGGGTCACCACTAACGACATTCGTAGTTTCGACTTTACTTAACCGATTCAAACGAAAAATAAATGACTTTGCAGAGATTTTCAACTTCCAATTTTTTATCTAGTTATCAAAATTAATCAATTGAATGAAATCAATCAATCATTTTTTATTTTCATACTCCATCATTTTATTTAGTGAAAAAATCATGCAATGCAGAAATTAATTATTGCCTCAAATTGCCGTACCACTCCGATATAGGCATCCCTGGATTTATCAATGATCAATGATGAAGCTATATTTTTTCTCTTTTCTCAGGAGTTCTATGGCTTCAAAACAATCCAATCGCCAATGCAGCGAACGTAATGAATGCATTTCACAACACTGGGAAGAGAATTTTCTACGTGACAAATAACAGCACAAAAAGTCGAGAAGAGTTCGTTGCAAAAGCTAAAAATTTAGGTTTTATTGCAAGCACCGATAGTGTTCTTTGTACATCGTACTTAGCTGCTAAGTATCTACAGGATATTAATTTTGACAAGAAGGTGTACACAATTGGATCACCAGGTTTGTAAACAAGGATCGATTTAGTGATTGAAGCTCAACATTTTTGGTTCGAAACTTACCTCGGATTGTTGAATTGTGGTTTAGCGTCTAAAAATATTTATATCACTCATTAGTTAGAGGAACGAAGCAAAATTTTGCGTGAAGTTTTTGTACAAGAGAAGTTCAAAATTCATGTGAAGGTTTTTCGGCAAATATCTAAAGATGATAGTTTTCTCTGTACCCACTAGCTTCTCAGATATTCTGCAACCTCTGCAACATCAACATGTTTTTTTTCTTTTTCCTTTCCGAATGGAAAAGTTGCAATCACTCAAATTTACATTTCCAATTTTTTGTGCTAGGCTAACAAAATATGGTTTAAAAAGTTTGATTATGTCATCTTCAGATGCTGTCTGTATGTATATATGTGGTCTTTGTTCTTAATTTTTTTCGAAATGTTTTTATAACAAATCAATTGAATTTCATGATTTTTTTTCGTGAATGTAGACTTTAATAAGGCTTTATTCATTGGCACCAATTCAAATTCAATTTTTTATACAGATTCGAAAAAGCTGACATTTTTCCAAAAATCGATTTTTCAGCGATCACTGAAAAAATTGTCATCAAAATGGAATTAGTCACGGTTCAAACCATTGATAACAATACTTTCTTGATTCTGTCAGAGTATGATTGCGATTTGAAAGAGAAAATCGGCTTTTCCATGATTACTGAAAGAATAATCAGTAATAGCAATTAAATCAGGGCTTAAAAAGTACATTTCAATGCCTTCTTAATCGTGTTGAAAAATGGTGAGAACCGTCATGAGCTTTTTAAATCAAAATCTCTATCTCTATTAAACTCGGGTATAATGTTCAAAATTTTTGTCTGAATTTTCCGTGTCAAGTCCCGGAAATTTTTATCATGTTTAATTTTCACTAAAATTTCAGGATATCTTGTAATTGAAAAATCAAATATTCCATTGATTTTCTATTCGAATGATCTAAAAATCAATAAATTACTCGATTTTTCAGTTCAATATTTCTGTGATAATTCTGAAAAATCAGAAAAATTTGAAAATTCCTGTCATTTTGTTTCTGAATATTTATGTTCCATTGAAAATTCAATCAGGTTGCGAACTTTCCGTCTCACTTCCACTGAAAACTCATGAATTTCATCTAATTCGACCTAAAACTTCAAATTTCAGAACCATTTTTCCACTAAATCGGATTCAATGTCACTCGCATGAGAATTACTACCACATTTTCCATGAAATTTCGAAAAATTTCTGACAGTGTCTCAGTCTATTATGTTGAATACTTATTCATATTGATTCATGACCCCAATTTGTTTCTGACAGAAACTGGGTTAACTCTGGCTAAATCCTGAATAAGCCCTGATTAAACACGAAAGGGTCTGAATGTAGAATTATTTGACAGAACGAAATAATACGCAAAATTTTGATGACATTTTAATGGATGAGAGTACTATGACATTAAAAAAATAGAAGAGAATAGTGAAATAAAAATTTTAAAAATAGAGTCCATTCGGAATAAAATTGCTAATCTATTAGCAACAATAACTATACTCATTTATAAAAAAAATGAAATATCCACTTGTTTTTTCTCCAGTTCGAAACGAATCCGCATATTATTTTGCAAATTCTCTAAAAATATGAGATTTTTGGATTTTTCTCCTCACGTCCGAAGTGAATCATCGCAAATATCTCCCATAGTAAGAAGTCTAGAAAAGTTACCAACAGACATTGCTTGCAGGAATTCATTCATTCGGAATAGGGAAATGAATGTTTGAAATTGAATATTTGATGTCGCAAACGTGTTGGACACATGTTAATTGCGGTAGTGATGTGAATTACTCAGTAATTGGGAGAATTATTTTTTTATAGCACGAAGCAAGCGATTTCCTAATGATAATGTTGAATAAACATAAAAAATTTAAAGACATAGACCTTTCAATTTTTTGTTGGAAAGTTCTTCTAGTTCATGAAATTAATCAAATTTATAGAATTCATAACATTCTTAATTTATTTTATGGACTACAAAAAACCGTCCCTGTCATTTTTTACTTAACTAGTTTAAAAAATATTTACAATTTGATATGTAGGAAATTTTCTAGTTTTCATCATATTGTCACATAATTATATTGATATTTAGGCATCACGAAGGAATTGGATAAAGCTGGAATCTCTTATTGTGGTGTGGGACCTGATCCAGTCAACGAAAATTTCACCTACGAGGAGTCTTTTACCCCAGACCCAGATGTTGGGGCTGTTCTTGTTGGATTTGACCTGCACTTCAACTACATGAAAATGCTGAAGGCTGCAACGTACCTCAATAACAAAGATATTCTGTTTATCGCGACCAATACTGACGAAAGGTTCCCAGCATCGGAAACACTAGTCATACCAGGTATAAAAATTACTAATAATTGGGTGGGTAAAGTCACAAGGAACAGATGAAACGTAAAAAACTGATTCACATATTTGGCAAATACACTGTTAGAAAAAAAATGAACTCTCATGGGCACTTTTTGGACATTTTTATCGAATTTAATTACCACTGCAATTTCGAAAAATTTCGTAATTGAAAATTCTGAATTTCGCGGAATAATCGCAGAGCACGGTAAACTTCAGTTCCATTTTTCTCTGAAAATGTATAGAAAACCAGAAAATTCCGGTAAATATATTCTTGAATTGTCAGGACAATGACACTGAATGCGATTTAGGGGGAAAAATGATAACATTCAGGTTTCATTGAAAATTCAGTAAAATTTAAGACTTTCAAGCAGCATAAAGACGAGAATTCCTTAATTTATTTGAATGTCCAACCTGATATGAATATTCAGTGCCAACTTACATTGAATTTTCAATGAAATCTGAAATTTCATGACTTTTTCCCCGTAAATCGCATTTAGTGTCACTGTCCTGAAAATTCAAGAATATATTTACCGGAATTTTCTGGTTTTCTATCCATTTTCAGGGAAAAATGGAACTGAAATTTATCGCTATCTTTGATTTTTCCGCGAAATTCTTAATTTTCAATTACGAAATTTCTCGAAATTGCAGTGGTAATTAAATTCGATAAAAATTTCCAAAAAGTGTACCGGAAATTTTCGACAAAATTTTTTAATAGTGTACTTCTGAAACCAGTGGGTTTATCGAAAAATGTCGACGAACATTTTTTACGGAATATTTTGCGGACTACAGAAAACGTCTAAAGGCATTTTACTCCAAACCTACTCCTTTTAGAGATATTTTCAAAATAACCCACAAATTTTTATTTTTTCTGCACCTAGAGATACTTTGAAAAGGTCTTAGAGAAGGAGAGATCAAGGGAAATTCATTGGAAGGTTCTTCTTAAGGCTATCCAAGTATCTTTTACAGTTTGGTACTGATCACACTGTAGATTCAACCATTTTCAATCATCAAATTTATTAATTAAATTGTGTGATAAAAAATTTGAAAAAGATCCTAAATTTTCAGCGTCATTTAAACTACCGTTTGCATAGAATTATAATTTTGTTAAACATTTGTTGTTTATAAATAAGTAATTGAAATTGTTTAAACTTTCGGAAATATAATTTTTTTAAGCATGAAATCAATTTCTGGTAAAATGCCGAATATGGGTAAATTTGTTACAATTCCGAAAAAATGATTTTTGCGGCAAAAAAGTGATTGTTTATAAATTATTTATAGAAAATGCTCGTAATTTTAAAAAAATTGCAATTTCTAAATTATTTCATAAATCTTCCTCCAAAAGTAGAGTAGCCAAAGTACTTGGATATCCTTAAAAAAAGTAAATTTTGAGAGTTATCAAATTTGACATTTGACATTTCCCTCTGAATCTGTGCGTCTCAGAGACAAATGCACAATAGATTTTAAAAAATTTCCGATTTTGCAATTTTGACAATCCAAATGAAGACATCAACTTCAAATGAAAGAAAAAAAATTAAATTGTGAAATTCTCTTTGAAAATATTATTTCAGGTACTGGGAGTATAGTAAGAAGTATCGAGACATGTTCCGAACGTGAGGCAACGATTATGGGAAAACCCGCTCCCTACGCTGCGGTTATGTTGCAGAACAAATACAAAATAGACCCAAAACGTACACTAATGATTGGTGACCGTGCAAATACGGACATTCTATTTGGTAAAAGATGTGGATTCAAAACACTACTCGTTCTAACTGGTGTCTCAAACACTCGTGATATCGACAATTGGAAAAAATCCAATGATCCAAACGATAAAGAATTAATTCCAGATTACTATACTCAAACAATCGGTGATATACTACCCCACATAAAAAATTGATGATTATTCATTCTAGAATGCCACAATTTTACTACACAAATTTCTAGTAATATCTTTATTTTTATATTCTTCAAAACAAAATAGTTTTCAAAAATATAATATTTACTCAATCCAGTAATAACTGTGACTATCTAAATATTTATTTAAAAATATCGTTGGCATTATTTATTTATAATCTAATTCTATAAAGTTGTAGCAAAGGGAGAGAAGTCGAAAAATTTTGGGTGGACTATTCTGGTAATATATTCGTAACTATTGGGCTACGAGAAAATTAAGAAAAATCTATTCGATATTCTATGAACTTTTCTATAAAAAAAAACAATCTCTTGACAGAAATTTCTGAAGAATAAACCTATTAGAACTCTCGAAAATCGCAGATGAGGTCAACAATTTCATAAATATATTTAATAAAGAATATCGAAAAGAGAATTTTATAAATTATAGAAAAGATCTCTTCATAAATTCCTCCAAACCTCTCCCACCCAAAATTGAATTATCTTCCCTGACAACTTCACTACTGAATCCATTATCAATTATGTTAATTGTCATGATAAATGCTTTCTCGTCAACAACCACGAGATTCAAAATCTGATGTAAGATATTTATAAAAAAAACAATTGACAATACGATTAAAAAATGCTCTATGCATAATGCACATAATAAATGAGAATAATTAGAAATAAAATTATTCATTATACATTCCATCAATGAGAAAGTCCATTCTTCTGTAGTGCCTCTTCTCCCAGCACTCTCTACCATTTCTGTACAAAAATATCACAAATAGAACGAACAGTGGTAACACTAATATTGTTATTATGACAGGCACTACGTAATCGATCTTCGACGACATTCCGAGTGGTGGAATTTTTGTGGGAACTCCGAGACTAGGTTTAACATTTTGAACATCACTAGCTCCGGCTATCGTCACCGTCGGCTTAGGCTTGAATTTTTTGTTTATTTTTGCTTTTTCAGTTGGCTTAATAATTTTAGTTTCATTTGTATCAATTGATTTCATCAAGTCAATGTCGTATGGTGTTCTCTCAGTTGTTGAACTCGTTGATGTCTTATTTTGAATGTCTTTTGGCTCCTCAAGCATAATTGTCTTGGCATCTGGGATACTAACAGGGATGTCGGGTTCTTCAGTAGGATAAACTGATTCCACGCCCTTTCTTGCTGAAATGGGGCTCTTAACTCCCTTCCGGGGGTGGACAGACGGCGCCGCCTCACGTTCAACCGGTAATTTTCCATTTAGGCTCGTGATTAATTCGTCTGATGAGACCTTCACACCCTCGGCCACTGTCTTCAGTGATTCACTCGGTTCGTTTGGGATGAGACTCTTCTGTAATATATGAAAAACAAATTAAGACTGAGGATGTAGAGCAATTGGGAAGGAAGTGGGTAATTGCATTCCATTTGCGTAGGTTTTTCGGTTTTACGAGGCGCCGAAATAGCTTCTGCGGAGAATAAAATTTTGTGAATGCCCAGAAAATAAAATACGGCTCCTTCAGTTTTCAACATTTATTGACGATCGTAATAGAGATATGCTACACTTTATATATTTAGTGGTGAATTGAACATAGAATCGAACCTTTGTGTAAGATTTACATGGAATAGTTGTTCTCGACCATATGTTCTTAAATTATTCAAATTCTTCTGGGCCATGTTTCGGTCAGCAGCAATAATCAACATAAAAAAAAATGTGTAAACTAGTTTAATTGCACTACGTTTCAAATGCACAAAGTATTCCTCTTCAACTGTATTTATTATTCTAAATTAAAACAAAATTAAGATGTTCTTTGGGAATTCATTTCTAGCTGTCATCTGACGATGGAAACAAACAGCCATACCGTTCTGTCATGAACGGTATGGTATGGATGACAGACGGGATGGCTGTTTGATGAATAACATGCCTCAAATGAATTCAGTCATAGCTAAAAATGTTCGTTTTAATGCCATTAAGTCGAAATTAAAAGATTATTACGATACCTATAATGGTTGATTAGATTTTTACGATGATTGTTGAAAATTTGGAATTGTTTATGAATTTCTCCGAAAGTAAGCATTCTGATGGCTTCTTCTTCAAATGTGATGTTTCAAATTCATTCAAGTATCTCTCTATATAATAAAAAAATAAGGGCAAAATTTAAGACAATTCAGGCGACGCAAAAATTCAGGCGACGCCAAAATTCAGG